CAAGCCTCTCTCATCCAGCCTCACTTCGCTCGGAAACATCCCCCTATCCTGAGTCGCCCTGCAGCCCTCCCTCCTCCCCATCCTGTTGACACAGCGTCTCCACTGGGAGGTGCAGTTAGACGAGTCTCCTCATCGATCTTACTCTCCACTTCATTACTTCCCTGCTCTCGGCGTCGTCAGCCTACTCCTGAGTTTCCACCGCGCTTTGAAATCACAGGCCGTGTTATACAGGACCAAAGCAGCAGGACAAAACTCTTAACTCGCAACAGCCGTCATCACTAAGGTGCTCAAATTTATGCCAACGTCAGGCACTTTGAAGGAGGGTAAGTATAATTTCACAGTCCATCGCGACTTCTGCACTGCCCACAGTCTTTTCAACACTTAAAGAAGCCCTCTGCTGGAACTTCCTTCATTTTCAAGTTCCCCTCCATCCTTCATTTCACCCATCTATCTAATTGAAATCCTTCTGCCTTGATTCAGGTTGTTCTAGACATCAGAGATATAGATTTCGGATATTCTTTTCAGCACAGAGAAAACTTTCCCATTTTTCCGAGGCAATTTCCCTCTTCGGTTTTAATCTTTTGCACCTCCTTGCCACAAGCCAGCCTTGACTGCATTAAGACGATTCTCAAAACTCCCCTCAAGTCCGCCATCGACACTCTGGGTCCAGTCCCTTGTATTGTTAACTTTGTTTCGTCCATAACATCTCTGCACCACTGTGTTACCCTAGTCCCCGTGAGAGACTTGCCACTGGGTCCTACACACTCTCCCTAGGGAGCATAGTGCTAGCTCTGCTGGCTTCAGCTTTGCAGTCATTCCTTTGACTACTGCAGCATTCTTCACTTCACATCAAGGGTTTCCAGTCACCTTATCGAATCCCTTTAGAGCTGCTCCTCTGAAGTTTAAACACTCTGACAGTGCTCCACTCCACAATTAATAATCTGCTGCAGTGCTACCGGGTTTTCATTCTTTTTCCTAATTCACCCCCAGGCAAACGCGATGCTCTGGCTCAGAGTGTCCTGATCTTTCTCTCTCTGTTCAATTTGGAAATGCTTCTGTAGCAGCCTTCATGTCCCTCTTTAGTGTTTGATCTGCAAATCTTACTCTCATTCATGTTCTGTCTTTACATTTTGTATTTTTAGAATCCTGCATTCCTGCTATGAGGTCTGTCTTTTTTCTTTTGGGGGCTCTGACAGGCCTGTCCTTAGAGGTGGGTTGTAGTTTTCCTCAGCTACAGTAGATGAGGTACCCCCACGTGCTCACTATTCGAATTGCTCATCAATTAGTACTTTGGACCAAGCCACTTAACAGACATATGAAGAACTATATCAGAGATATTTTCCTCACAACTGATTCCAAGACGTATTAACAACATTGCTATTATTGTTCAACCAGGAGTGATGTTTAGAACTGTGCAGCAAAATTACCATCATTTAAAAACATTTAGAATTGAACAACTTTTCCCACAAAGCCCTACTTCTTCGACGATGTCAAATAATGGGAAAGAAACAGTATTACTTTTATTAGAAGTGAAAGTACTGTACTTTTTAATGTTGTACTATATTTAGGCTGCCTTAGTGTTGGACAGTATCTTCCATGCATCTGTTTCATGACTCTGAAGGCAAAAAATTCAAAATACCTTTACAACAACAGGTTATTCTCACAGGGCAGGGCAGACGTTTAGGAAAAAATAGAACACATAAAGCTTTAGTTTATACTCTTAATGACATGTTCAAAGTAGTATTACAATAGCATGCATATCACATGATTCCCTTGACATTTGAACACAAAATGTGCAAAAGTAGGCTCACTGCCAGTTAGCCTTTCTCTCTTTGGGTATAATACCAAGCAGATGGACAGCACTCAGTGTTAATATTCCAAATCTGTAGCTGTAAATACAGCTGTCGCATGTGTTTGCTTGTCTACAGTAATATGAAGTGGTTAGGTCAGGTGACACACTAATGTAAAATATAACAAAAAAAAACAAGATATCAGAGTGTTTGGTTTACCAGATGTGTTTGAAAGCTTTATGGAAATACAAGTTTTTGCAGTGCACAGCATGACACAATTATATTGCCCAAAATATTTAGACTGAAAACTATACATCCTTTTGGGTTAAAAAAAAACAACATGATGAATTAAAGGTTATACTAGTTTGTTTATGGTATTTCACTTGAGATAACAGATTTGAAATATTTGTTATCAACTTCTTTCTTACAGCTTGCTACTGAACTTCAAGAGTATCAACTGTATGAAATTCTTGGGAAAGGTTTCTTTATACTTTGGTGATTAATTGTTCAGAAAATTAGTTTAAAAACAACAGAAGATTCCAGTTTATAACACAATGCAATTTACTCGAACCTGTTAGGAGGCTCTAGAAACCATTAGAAATATAACAGGCCCAATCATAGTACTGGAATTTTAATACTGCGGTTTTATTTCTCACAGTAATATTCTGCAGCATAACAAATATTACGCACATTAGTATTTTTCTTGTTGCTAGAAAATGGAACATAAAATAAAATGTTTCCCCTTTGAAATATGTCTATCTTGACTGTTTTTCCTTCAAAACTACTTTGACATGAATAGCACTACAGATTAGAATTTAAACAAACTATAAACTCACCTGCATTGAGTTCCATCAGATAAACAGAACAGTCCTGAAGGGCGCTGCAGGTTTCTTTAACTAAACCCTAAACAGCTGTTATTTATCAAGATAGATCCCTTTTGTATTTACAGAATCTGCCCAGCTGGGGACAAATCTTTTCCTCCCAGCTGACAGAGATGTAAAAACAGCATTTGTTTCTTTCATTGAATAGAACAATTTATTAGACTGCTCATAATTCAGCAAGAATCCCTAAGGTGACTTTTGGTTTTCTGTTCCACAAAGAAGCGCCAGTTAAAAGGTGACTAGAGTACCATAAACCAAATAAAAGTGTTAAGAGCAGAATAAATAGCGGATGATTAGGTGGCTTTACAATGCTGTACGTGGGTGCTGAATTTCCTAAACTAGAACCAAAAAAGCGAATAAATATGAAATATCTATTGATAAATCCTTCATACAAAATAGTCTGATCTCCATTAATTTACATGCAACTTATGTTTATTAGGGGAAAGTTTATTAATACTGTTAATACCGATATATCAAATTTGTCTAGTAAGATTAAGTGTTTCAAGGTAATTTATTACTCTTTTTCTATGCAGTAGCACCTAACTAACGAGGAGAAGAGGTACAGTATAATGATAAAATACAGTGAGTTTTAATGGGGTGACTCGCGGGGCTGAGGAGAAAGTCCATACGGACGGGGCTGTTGGAACCATCAACCCGTGTCGTGAGGAATGAGCCAGGGAGCCGCTTCAAGGGCGAAGATGGGGAGGAGGGAGGGGGGTGAGAACACAACGCAGGCAAGAACAAAGCCAGAAGTTTCATAGTAACAGCTTACATGCTGAAGGTACTGTAGGCAGAAAAGGGTTTTAGGTTTAGGGCCCGAGAACAAGCAGATTTACGGCCTTAATTGAAAATGAGATCTGACGTGTCTGAATCTGGGTCTTGATCTGAAAACAAGGAAGTCTACAAAATAAAACCCACCTCAAAGTTATGACACTGCATATTCCTAAACAATAAAGACATATATTTTATATGTATTTTATATTTAAATTCTGAATCAAAAACATCCCTTGCCCTTGTCTTTCTTATAGGTAAGGGGAGTGAAATACAAAGTCAATGGCCTACATCCACATATTCTGACTATACGAGATTAACTGGAGATAATTTCAGCACTGGAGAGAATAATGTGATAGAATAGTTATAGCCCATGGATACCATTAGAGTATTTGTAATCTCCCTATCCGTCCCTGACTCCGGGTCCTTCTTGAATGTGGGTGGTCTGATTCTCTGCCCTCTTATGCTGTTGGCTACTTTTACAACTGAAATAGTTTGCACTTCTGTGACCTTAGGCATATAAGCAGTCCGGGGGTCTGTAAAACAGTCCTGCAATCTGACTGATGCTTTCCTTAATCTTGCATTTTAAGGGAAAAAATCTCCATTTAGCAAACTGCCATTATATTGCTAATGTCAAGCATACTGTATACCTCCAATCTCTTGTAATCACCTCCCCTCACTGTTTCACATCATACATTTTCTATTCCCTTTGATTTTACTGTCACAACATCCTCTCTTAAAACCCTGCAGTCAGCTAATGGAATCCATACACTAGCATGGTTCCTGTTGTTAGTTAAAAGCAGTTCTTGTTTTGTCAGATATTCAGATCTCTTTCAATGGCATTTAATGAATTACTAAATGCAGCTAAAACTTTGTTTATAACAAGGAACGTTTCACTAAAGGGGGTGACAATTGAAGTGAGTTAGCCAGAGCTTTCAGTATTCTGAAGATAGCCTTACAGCATAAGGCTCACTCCAGTCCATGTTCTTAAGAGAGCTGGAGTTTCAGAATTCATGGTCTCCAATACTTTGGCCTCACTTACAGTAGGACCATATGTTCCACCACATTCGTTGAAATTGGATGTGTGACGGGAAGGATTTATCATTGCGCTTTAGGTTATTGTTGTTCAGAAGTCCAGCACTAGGACTTCATTAAACCCTCTATTGTTAACAGCTGGGTAGGGAAGAATAAGCCTTTCACTAAGAAATTACAGACAAACTTTACAGGGAGATTTTATTACAGCATGCAGTTGATATTGGCAAGAATGGTATAACTTGTGGTGGAAACCTTCAGCTATTTAAATTGCAGTAGATCAATCAGGTCAGCATGTTTTCACAGCGCCTTGGGTTTCTGTTAGAAGAGGCAATCGGACTGCAGCAAAGTCTTCTAGTTAGCACAGCTCCAGTACAGTGCATCCAAACAAGGACATGTCAAATTTTCTTTAGGATCTCCAGGGCCATCTAAACACGCAATTGTATGGATCCATGTCCATGCTGCAATTCCAGAGGACCGGCTGCTCCTCCCTTCCTATCCCTTTCCGGCCCGTGATGGTGCTGCCATAGCAACAGCTGAGTCAGTCTCTCCTGTTAGCTGCAGAGCCTGCCTCACAGCGGCTCTCCAAAAGCAAAAAGCTGATCACTGCTGATTAAATGCATCTTTCAGCTTTAGCTGGGTGTATCAAGCCCAGCTGTAAGGGTCAGTGAGTGTGTGGAATCCTGGGGCAAACGCAGTGATAAACAAATGGGTAACGTCCCCACTGCTGTGAAGCACTGCCTGAGCTACCAGAATCTCAACAGGGACTATTCCTGGCTTGCACATTCACTGCAGGAAGAGAAGGTGAGGTGTCTGTCTTGCATAAATTGAATACAAATTCAACAGTTAGATACAGAACAAAGGTATGCGCCATCCCTATATCTCTCACTCATTGAAGATTTCATATATTAATAAGAATAATAATATATTTTCCTTCTAGTGATGTAATCTACAGATACCAGTATTTTAAAAGGGCTTTTCACATGGCAACATGTGTTTGTTCAGGTCTGTTTCCTTATTATTGCCGTGTTCAGTTAGACCGGAATGCGATCAGACAGAGTTACTGGCAGATGATGTGACATCACGCCACAGAGGATCTGGTGCCTGTAGCGCTGTGCTTCCTCCTGGTTACTCACTTAGTGCTGACTCCTACTTCACGTCACACAGGGGAGACATGTCAGAGGAGCAGCCTCAGTCGCTTGGTATCTCCATTTTTACTAATGTCTTCCTCATTCCTTGATTTAGCAGCTTTAGAACAAATGAAATGCTAACCTGATCACCATCTGAAGTGATTTTCTGCAGACAGTTGTATCCACCTTTAACTATGTCCCTCTTTTTTTTAACTTCTACAAATTCTGCCCTCTCTGGGACAAAAAATATTTTCCACATACTTATATTGCTACACTGCATTTTCATCTTTCTTCCGGACATTGTTAAAACAAAATACATGATTACTACATGATTACTTCCTCTGAGTGTATGCTGAAAAAAATAATTTAGTTCAAACAACAAAGTAGACTTTTGAAAACACAGCACAGCTGTGATACTTAAGTCAATTTCAATACTCTCTTCAATGACTTCACTTTATTGCTGCAGCACAATTTAGATACAGATAATAGAATATAAGAATGTAATTCTCATTTGTTTCAGAAAATTGCCATAAATGGACTGCCTACGTTTGTTAAAATCGTGGAGGTTGGACCAAGAGATGGCCTACAGAATGAAAAGGTATATTTTTGTAATTATTTGACCTTTTAAGATCTACTCGTTTGAAGAGAATGTTAAAACTGAATCCATTTTTAGCCAAGCCTTTGTTTTACATGTGTACTTAAAAATGTCTGTCATGACTTTTATTATAGCAGTGTGATATAACACATTTCTTTTTAGCCAGAGAGACATGATGAAGTTTTGATTCCCAACCATGGCAGGAAATTTGCTGTATGCCATTAGTGTGCTTGATTAAAAGCTTTGGTAATATTATTTTTTTTATCTAAAATTGCACCATTTCACGGTATGATTAAAGTGTAAACACCCTCTGTAATGAATTATGAGACGCTTGTGTTTTACTCTTTGCACAAAAAGGGGATTTGATGTGAAACATGTTTATATTCCAGCACAGAAAATGCACCTTATGTTGACAAGATGTATTGAGATGTATGAACATACATAGAAAGACATCAAGAAATAGAGTACATTGGTTTTGTGTTATTCTTTGAATTTTCATCAGAATGATATGCCGAAAGCAAAACGGGAGGACATCTGGTCTGTTGGTGTTGACTTAAAGCTGAATAATTAATAAAATGGCATAGGCGATGAACAAAAAAGGTTTAATTGAATGGCTTACTGTTCCTCCTAAAATACATGTCAATGTAGGTCATTCTAAAACATTAAAACTTTCAATCCCAAAGTACACATTATATTGCTTTTTCTGAGGTTTTGTCACAAATGTTTGCTATAGAATTAAACAACATCCATTACATTACATAAATTACATTTGGTTTTACAAACAGTTAAAGACTTGCTTATTGGAAGCTTTGTCCAGACTGATTAATGAATAATTATTTGAATAAAATACCTGTTTCAGTTTTACAGAAAACCCAAGGAAACAGCGCAGTTTCAGAAGAGTAAATTACGGTAACAGAATAGTTTCATTTTGAGAGTTTAATTAAGAAAAAATATATAAATTACAGATCCTTTATGATGTATCAGACTTCAAAAGGAACAATGCCTAGAGCATAACACATGATATCCTGGGTTCTTATTACCTGCACAAAAGAAATCTGTTAATGTTACTGGAGACACTTCCTGTGTCAAGAATAAACCACACACAGTATTACAGGAACATTAGCACACTGAAGCTCGATCTGCTTAGATTGCATAGGCTAAGCACAGCTAGGCCCGGTCAGTAATGAGATGGGAAAGAAAGTCCAATTCGATGCCTCAGTATGGCGACTGGAGGTTCCAACCACGGGAGGAGCCACTAAACCGAGGTCCCGACAGCTCGCTCATTAGAGATCCCCTGGCACTGCCCATACTGGGGATCATGCCAGGGGTTCTTGCCAGGGCAGACTAGAGGCCTGGTTAATTTCCACTCTGGGCTCGCACAGTCTTCCCCCCCGAAACGTCTGCCTTAATTCAGTCAGCGAAGCCCTTTCTCGTCCACCTGCCCTGCTTTGTAGGGGGCTTCCAGCTCCTAATGGTTTCCACGCTCACCCAGGTGGGGGCAGCATGTCAGCGCTGGAGGACATGGCTGCCCTCCTGTATGTTGAGGAGCTTTGGGATAAAAAGTGCTATAAACAAAATCTTTTTAGAATTTTTGGTAGGAATATCTATTACCTTCATATTTGCTAACTTAAAATATCATAATGTATGAAAAACCCTGCAGTGTTCCTGAAAATTCAGCAACATTTTCTGATTTCCATTTGCTTTACGAATAGTATTAAACAACATATGTTTTCCATTTTTTCTTTCAAATATTGTATTAATGAAATAAGCACCACATGACCTTATAATCTGTCGGAAGTATGACATGACTTTACCAGATGGTTCATATGCTGGTTATGTTTAATGCTGGTAAGGTACATCTGTCTGTTATGGAGTCATGCTTCATTTTCTCCGTTATGGAAAGGATAGACACGCTGTATCTTTCATGGCTTTTAATTTTCCATCGTTGTGCATTTGTGCACTGTAGAAGTGCTTTATAAGGAACATACTCCTCTAGGTCAAAGACCTAGCCAAAGAGTGAGAAGTTATAAAGTTCAATCAGTGGAAATATGTCATTTTTAATTCCATTGAGCTAACAAAACATGAAGACAGAGCTGAGTTCAAATCAAATTGAACTCATTCAATGTTAAGGGTATGTCCAACACAAAGGTGTAGAAATAAATCAACAAAAACAAGCAGCTGTGAAATGCAATATACTTCGGAATTTAAAGGGTTAGTTGAGAAAGTTAGACATAGGAAAGACATATGATGTAGGCAAGAGCACTGAAGACCAATCAGTGACTTTATTAGGAATAATACTGCTGTAAACTGAATTAAGTTAGGAGAATAGTCTTAAAAGGGTTTCATTCATCTTACGTGCTGCTTGGTATCAGACAGAATTCTGGCTGGTTTCTTCAGCTGGAACCTTGCTGCTGGAACCTTGCAACTGAAGTCCCAGTTCCAGAGAGAGCACTGACAACTGCCAGGCACCTTTTAAACTCTTTGAAATGTTTTACAGGAAATTGTTCCAACAAAAGTCAAAATTGAACTGATAGATATGCTCTCGGAAGCCGGTCTACCAGTTATTGAAGCCACTAGCTTTGTGTCATCAAAGTGGGTCCCACAGGTAATACTTTTTTCACAGTCACACTGTAAGGGGATACTCATGGTGTTCTCATCAAGTGTCTCTTGATGCTCTCCATATACTGCAACTACTATATTTTCATATTTACAAAACAGCTGGTTCGGACTACTACACACATTTTGTTATAGCTTCTTAGCATTTACAAGACGTTTTCTGTACAGAGTTAAAAGAGATATAGTTGCTCATTATGAGGTCATTTTAATCACATTTTCATAAAAATCCTTATAATCAATAAATTACTTATTACAAATATCACTTTGTTCAGATTTATGTAGTACTTTTTGTCATGTCAAACTTATTGTAGAGTACTGATGTGTACTTCTGCCAGTAAAATAGGAGTACTCTTGTGGTCTCTATTACCAGACCATCTGTGTGTATATATTTAGTCATCATGACTAATTTACCTTTATACAGCCCAGAAATACTACAATAAAGATTACTCTTTTAAAGAGACTGAATGTTTAAGACACATCAAATATTTTTTCAGAATAAAGAGCAGATAAGTGTCACAATGTTATTGAACTCTGTTATTATCATTCTTTACAAGATAATGAATTGGTCTTCCACTGTGTCTTTTTGATAATATTTATTTCAAAGATGGCAGATCAGACAGAAGTCCTACAAGGAATAAAGAAGTTATCTCATATTAAATATCCAGTTCTCACTCCTAATATACAAGGCTTTCAGGCAGCTGTAAGTAAAACTGTTCTTTCAAAATATATTTTTTTACAAAAATAGAGCTTTTCTATAATTCATCTTCTTTTTTCACTAAAACTTTGCTACCAATAATATCTGTGCATATCCTGCATACAAGCAAGAAATAAGCATTTCAGAATTAGCTAGCATTGGACTATTGTTCCTACCATTAGGTCTGGGATTGATTGATGAAGTAATACATCTAATTAAAATAAGTATTATTAAAATGTTAGGCTTTTTCCATTTTGTTTTTGACCTTTACATTATTTTCTTAATTTCAGTCTAAATCAAAATTGGGCCTGTGAAGAATTTTGATTTAGGATGGTCCAAGTCACAAGTTTGACCTAGCTGTCCAAAAGAATAAGTATAATCTGGGCTGGTTCATTCTGAAATTGGGATGGACTGGGGTTCAGGACTATTGTATATTTATGCATGCATTAAGGTTTTAAGCTTCAAGTGAGGAGGAAAATTAGTAGGTTATTAGAAGCAGTTCTCAGAAAGACAATTACTTCATTACTTTTAGTAGACCTCAGCACAGTAATTCTCACCACAGCACCACATACTTAACGAAGCGATAATGAGCTGCTAGATGGATTTGTAATCTGGTTTTATTTTCTTAGGTTGCGGCCGGGGCTACAGAAGTGGCTGTGTTTGGGTCTGCCTCTGAAACCTTCAGCATGAAGAATATTAACTGCTCTGTTGAAGAAAGCATGCACAAATTTAGCGACATAGTCAGATCAGCAGAAGAGGCAAAGATACCAGTCCGAGGGTTTGTACATCATAGTCTTACACATCCTACCAAGAGGTAGCAGTTCACAGGGACTGCTTTTTTGTAAATGTTTACTGCCATGTTGCAAATCCTTTTCCAATGCAAGCCAACTGTGCATAACATCTGTGGTAAATGAACACTGAGCCAAACAAATGTGCAGCGGATTGTAAATAATGTGGCCAGCTCACTATTACCACACACTGTGGACAGTCTGGTAGCTTGACTGTTTGTACTGTGTGTTATTTTATGAGAACATTGTTTCTAACACAATCTGAATGGGAGACTGCTGAATAATTTCAGAGTGGACTTAAATACTAGCTCTTAAGGTTTCACGGCCTCAAGAATTACAGCTCAATGAAGAATTGGTTTACAATGTTTACCTTCATTACATCACCTGTGGGGTTATTTTGGAAGCTGACTTTGAGGACAAATAGTATGCCATTCTCTAATGTCTATGAAAGTAATGTTTTTGCCTTTTTGGAGCGACACGACTAAGTATCCAATCTTTATGTCAGCAAAAAAAATTTGCTCCAACTCTAGAGCCATTTCAGCTTTTCCTCATACTATGTTGCTGTAGTGTTATTTTTCACACTGTATATCCATACACCTGTGTGAAATTCAGAATTCCTCTTTAATTTGTCTAAGATGCCTTTTAATTTCAGTCCACATTCCACTTGAAACTAAAGCCAAGGTTGCTGAACTGTGGCCTGATATGTATTATGTAGTCGTGCTCTGATTCAATTTTAATTCTAAGCAAGCCTGTTAACAGGACTGAAAAATAAAAGACCCCTGTAATGAAAAATGAGCTGTTGATTCATATCATTGTTAACATAGCTCTCTAAAAATGTTTTTAGGCAAAGAAACCCTGGCAACAATCATTTACTAATGTATTTGTAGTGTCAGGAACATCAAAAATGCAAACCGTAAAACTTACAAATAAACAACCTGACTGGCCTTTCAGCATTCTGTAAAAAAGATATTTTGCCTTCATAATCCTTCATTGATGCACAGAATGTTCACTGTATTTATTTTATTTGAACAGAATTTTGTAACGGAATACTCAAACAGCTTCAAATTATGTTAGAAATTATAGGTAAGAAAGTCCAGTTCCAGATGCTCGTTTAACCTGGTGTTTCGTATCCGTTACAACTAGAATGCCAGATGTGGCTAACCAAATCCAGGATGTTTCAAATAGTGGAAGCAACTCTTTAATCTCAAAGGAACCAAAGCAGAATTACCATGGATACACATCAGTTTGACATCCTCGTTTTTGTTAAAATGACTAAGTGAGTGATGTTTGAAATGACTAAAGAACATTCTTTTCCCAGGAGGAGAGAGGCTCTATGGAAATTCCAGTAGCTGATTGTAAGACTAAAATATTAACTAAGGACCCAAGCCCAAGAGAAACATTTTCTGCTTTACCAGTAGATTTTAAGTGTGCCCTGTTAGATCATCTGAAGGCAAACAGTAAATATTTTCCAAGCATATAGAAAGGACACACTACTTTCCTATCCTCTATATTGTTGATATGAGGAGCAAATGTTAAAGACAAACACAGATCAAATGGTTTGGTGAAGAGATGAGATACTAGAAAAGTAAGAACGTGCCAGTGATTTGTGTACTTCTGAACATATACAGAATTTGTGATATTTTGTGTTTTATTACCACCCAAATTGTATTATATTTTCCACTGTTTTCTAGAATGGTTCTGTAATAGGTGTAAGTTATGATATTATTCTCATAACCGGAATTGCAATGAAAGGTACAACGAATAGGACCTAATTACTGGCACTTCAGGAAAGGCCTCAGTGGAATACTGTTGTATCATAGCAGAAAGAATCCACACTATGAGCAAAGAAGAATTTAAGAATTTTAAAAAAGAGAGAACAACTCAGGACTCAGGAAAGGAGCATGGTTTTTGAAGAGAACATCACCCCCCCCACAATACAAACTGGAAGCTTTTAAGGCCCAGGAGACAATTTTGCTTTGCCTGCATTGTTTTTTTCAAAAGTTGTTTTCTCCCCCAGACCATTCATAAACCCCTAAAAAGTGAAGTAGGACCCTGGCAACAAGCAGCCAGGATGGACCTTTATCCGCAGGTATCATTCCCAGCAATGATTGTCACTGGCAGATCAAGCCCACTGTTCCCAGGCCGTGTGGGGAAGCATGCAGTCTTCACCGAATACAGGAATCAGAATGAAACAGCAGGGCTGATAGCAATAGCTAAGACTGCACATGTCCCCACTCTCCCTGGTTGCCCAGCCTTTAGACTTCTGTGCTCACAGGACCTAACACTCCAAGGAGCATTTTTAATTGTGTTTGACTGGGTATAACTTCCTTCTCCCAGACATACATGATCATCTTTGTGGTGCCTCCCTATCAAGTCTCATTCTATCTTTATGAACTGTTCTCTTATACTCTAACACAAATCCCCACTGGGTTAGTCGACATTAAACATATTTGAGGCATTTCTTTTACTTAAAAGAAGATGCCGTTTTTATTTTAAAAAATCATGTACATTGTGGGAGTGTTGTCAAGAGATTATCTTTGCATGAATATTTTTTCAAAATCTGTCCAGTACGTTGTGGGGGAGACACCTGACAAGACCTCCGTCTCCCTGGGCAGGCTATTTCCAAGCAGAATCATTAAGTCTCATCTACAGAAATGGAATATTTTACAAGTTTTTCCACTGACTAAATCTCAGTTCATGAGGTGCTGTAATTGAGGCACAGGAGATATGCTGGTTCATGAGGGCCATACCAAAGAGCAGTGGTATTCACAAGAAACCAACAAGCCCATGAAATGACATCCTGACAGTTTAACAATGTCCTGGATGTTTTCAAGATAAATGCATTCTAAACATTACGTTAAAAAATAATTATAACTGGAAGAACAGTAAAATACATCAAGCTTTTGTTTGACCTTTCTTTGTTCAATTTTTAGAGCAGGCTGACTTCAGAGAATAGTGCCATGTCTTTTAAAACCACTGCTGAATTCTGTAAAGGGAAAAAGAAACTTGTCTTTTATCCTCTAATATTAAAGGAGGCTTCACCTTAGTTAGTCCTGGATTAATTATCTTCCATCCTGCATTTCACCTTAAATCTGAACATGAAGCGCATTTCTTTTGGGTTTGAATTACAGTAGATTGATCTATACTTACTCAGTTAAATGCAAGGTGCTAAATAATTCTTGAATGAGTAAGAAAACACAAAAATGCCAGTGCCCAGAAGCTTGATTGGAATGAAACATAAATAACTAACATGAGAAAATTAATTTTGAACAAATAAGAGCATGCAAATATTATATATTTATTAAATATTTTAGTGTGCAAATATAACTTCCCTTTAATATTCGTTTTTGACTAGATTTCACTACAATAAATATTGAATTTCTATTGAATTTCTACAACACCACTTGTAATACAGCTAACATGTACTTTCACACTTTCTAAAAAAGAGGACAGTTAACTGATTGAATCACACAAATAACAATGATCATGTCAGTAAATATGTGGTAATATGTATTGTATTGCACAGTCCTTTCACTGAATGCTAAATTCTAAAATTAATATATTGTAGATATGTGTCCTGTGCACTAGGATGCCCCTTTGAAGGATACATACAACCAGCTAAAGTAACAGAGGTAAGTTTGAGTTTTTTAATTCTATACTGTGCAGTATCGTGTAATGAAATAGCCATGAAGAAAGTTAAAGGTACAAGGGGAAGGGAAATATGGTCCGATTGGTCATTCTGACACTAGATCCACAATGTTATCCTGGCAAATTATCACAGACAAAGTGGCAGCATGCAAGAAGAATATGCTACACTTCATCTGAGCACAGTGCCACAAAAAAGTTTATGAACTCTCTAGGCTGGTCCATATTCTCTCATGTTTTGGATAATTACTAAAATGTAATGATGCCTTCATGCTTTCATGGGAGTCTTAGAGAAAGATGAAGACAGTCAGATTAAATGTATTACACAATATATTTTGATTAATTAATGATCCAACATCAAATATCCTGAGGTGAACAAGTCTTCTAAACCCTCAGAATCAGTAACCTGTTGCACTGTCTTGGGCTGCCTTGGCTACAATTAGGTGTTTCTTTTAACGGTTTATCAGTCTCTCAAATAGGCTTTTAGGAATTAAGGCCCATTTCTTCCTATAGAACTGCTTTAAGTCTGTGCCATTTGAGGGTCTCCATAAACAGCTGGCTGCAGGACCTACCATCCAATTTCTCTGGGGGTTTAGGTCTGGACTTTGACTTGGGTTAAATCTGAATGTGAAATTTCTTCCTCTTCAGCCTTTCTGTTGTAGATCTGCTGGTATGTTTAGGGTCATTGTCTTACTGCATGAATCACCTTCGGCTCAGCTTCAGCTTACAAAATGTGCTGATACAACACAATATTCATGGTTCCATCAAAGATGGCAAGCGATCTTGGTCCTAAAACAGCACAGCAGGACAAATCCACAACCCTCCCACCTCCATGCTTGATGGAGAGGTTGAGGTTCTTCTCTTGGAAGACAGAGTTTGGTTCTGACTAAAACAAAACATACAAAACATTTCTCAATGTGGCCATTTGTAATATTTTTATAAATTTGTTACATTTTGTGGCCAATGTAACATTTGACTCACTTGTCCAGAAGATCTGGAGTTTTCTGGATCCTCCAGATGATCTCTTTGGAGAACTTGAAATGGGAGGCAGTGTTCTTTTTTAGACAGGTTTTTTTTTTCCTGGCTATTCTCCCACGACCAGTCCTGGGCAAAGTAACTGTGAATTTTTTCCATTTGTAGATTATGTCTACCAGTAGATGGATAGAGCCCCAAATGTTTAAGAATGGTTTCATTTCCATTCAAAATACTTTACTCATCCCTTTAAACTTTACTCATCCCTGTTTCTACTAACCTGTATTTACTTGTTACTCAGTTATTAAACCACAGTTATTTAATTGTGCGAAATAAACTAGAGGTTGACATATTATTTCACAGAGACTGATTTTTTTATTATTATTTTTCTACTTCATACACCATTGTGTCTCGGAAACACTGAACAGATTAGTATAACCTGCTTTGTTTATTTCTGTTTAAGACCTGTTTTCATTAAAGCGCTCATGTTTAGAGACGATAATTTTCTGTGATTTTACCGAGTGCTCACAAACTGTCTTGGCACTGTAACCATTTTCCTCACCTCTGGCACGTGGTCATCGTCACGATACCTTATGAAACTTCAGCTTCAATTTTCTCATGTCACCATGAATTCCGTAAAGGCAAACACAGTTTACAGTATATAGTGTGGAAAAGGATGTTCTCTAATTTAACTTACAACGATCATTTTAACAGTGCCCAGTGCACATTCTCTTTTTTACTCTTGTGCAATAGGAATGATGCACTTCAGGGTGCTGGTTGTGATGTTATAACATCACTTTTTCCTCCACCACCCCAGGGGCAGCGCTGTTGTCAGGCTGTCAGTCCCTCTCAGTAATCCTCATCTCGTTTGTGGTGAGGAGCGCAATGCTCTGGGATCTCCTCTTCACAGTTACCACATCAAGTACAAGCAACTAATCCCGTGTGGGAAGTTAGTCTGACAGGCACGGTTTACATGGCAGGTGGCTAAACGTATGTACAACCTGGGCTGCTGTGAGATTTCCCTGGGAGACACCACTGGAGGGGGTACGCCGGGGGAAATGGCCAAGATGCTGGAGTGCGTCCTGAAGGAAATCCCAAGCCGGGCCCTGGCGGTTCACTGTCACGACACCTACGGGCAAGCCCTCGCCAACATCCTGACAGCTTTACAGGTACTGTCACTCGCTGGGCGGGCACCCCGAGCCTGCAGGAGGCTCACCTCACACCACGCCGCATGTTACACACCAAAGCTGAATACTGACTAACAAGAAAGCTGTGCCCTTTAGAAAAATACACGGTGTTACATCTTTCAGTTTTTGGAAGACTGTGCATTCATTTTTCAAGCCTAAACCTTTAAAGTTTGCCAAATAATAACAATATAACGGATTTGAAAAGAAGACCGATAATGACAAAGAAGACAATGACAGTGGTGATAATACTTTGAATACCTGACATGATGCCCTTGTGTAAAAGCCATTGACTTCAGTATTTCCTACATCTACTAGTCTGCGAATCAGTCCCACATTTAGTACCAATTCAGTAAATGAATGGTAGGATCAGTGGCATGGTGCTTAGCACTGCCGCCTTACAGCTCTTGGGGCTGGGTCTGGGGTCTGGGGTCTGACACTAGACTGGGATCCTTCCTGTGAAGTGTGTATGTCCTCTCCACGTGCACATGGGATTTTGTTGGACACCTCAATTTCCTCCCTCCTTCCCGAGAAAATGCTGTCGGGGTAAGCTAGTCTCTAAACTGTCCCTCTGTGTTTCAGTCGGTGTGTGTGTGCTCTGTGACATGCGGGCATCCACTCCAGGCTGTAGTACTGCTCTATGCTTCTGGGATAGCTCCATGTTGCTGTGACCCTTACTAGGACTAAATAAGAAGGATGTGTGGCATCAATGAATTCCTCCAATTATAGCAGACTCTGTAGGAGCTTAAGACCCCACCCCAACCAAACCCTGGAATTAAAATAATCTAAGTGGAAAGTAGCAGTGAAAAAAAAAAGAACCTAAGGAAACTACTGAGCACATAAAAAAGAAAAAAGAGCAATGAGCTACTCACTTCAATAGTGGTGTTTTGTATAGCCTTTGTGCTTCTTTCACAGTTTGTCTTCCCCAGGAGTGCAGAAGGACTCTTCATCAGGTTAGCAGATGTAAAGGGTCAGTACAAAGGCTCACCTATTCAGTGTCTGTTCACGTGACAGCCCCCTGTCTTTCACAATGCCTTCAAGTTCAGGGGAGAAGATAGCCTGCAGGGCTCCTGCCTCGTCTGTCTAAGAGCTGTTGAACTTTGTGACAAGGTTGTGCCAAGCCATCAGAAAAACGATCCCTTGCCTCACAGACACACATGGCAAACAGGATAATAAAAAGTAGAGACCCAGAGCACCAAAGCAGTCTTTCTAAACCACGGGGTAAAACAAAGCTCCAGGTACTTGACAGATGCCACGCTGTTGACAGCCACACGGTGCACTGCGCAGTCGCTCCTGTGATGGGACTGGTCAGAGAAGTGCTGCAGAAAGCTCCTGCCCTTCAGACACTGCTCTCCGCCTGGTGTTTATTGCCATTTCAAAACCAATCCAACAATTACTATTGCTTTTTTAGAAAGAAACGTCCAACTCTCCATCCTTTTTAAATACAGTACACAATTATAATAAACAACTGTTCAGCTTTAGCTGCAACACATCATACTCCAACTGCAGCATTCTTTGACATGAAAAATGTAAACCGTTTTTTTTAAGCGGTAAATAGATCATCTCTTGAGGGAATCAAAGTCTTTTGGATTTTATAAGAGCGCAAATGTTTGTATATAAATAAGATGACATACAAATCTTGTTATTCTCAAGAATGCAGAGATCTTACTTTGAAACCACTCTTTGAAGTGCTGCAGAGAAGGACTAACATAATGAAGAGCAAACACTTATAATGAGAGCAAAACTACAGCTTTCACCATCAAAAAGCACCCGGCTAACGAGAGACTGAAGAAACAAAAAACAATGACTAGATTAGAATAAGAAACTAAGAGACTATTGTTTACCATGCAGCATGATGGCAGTTTTCAGCTTCACATGTTAGCATAATTTACCGAAACTTCAGACACAGACTCTGGCTCATTTGCAATGCCTGACTGGACTGAGGAGAGCCAGGAGCATACTTGTTCAAAACATGTTAAATTTCTTTGTGTGAATCAGCATAAAACTGATTCATTACAGCTGCAGAACGACCACAAAAAAATAATAGGCAAGGAAACTTAGCCAACCATTTGTAATTCCCCAGCTCAAGAGACCTGATGGAAATTAAAGATTTTATCGTAGCCTTTCATTATGCAGTGGTAGCACTTCACACCACCAGCTGTGACAGAAATGAATTCGTCTAACCCTGTCAGAGCACAGTCACCTCTGCTTTTGTTCAATATAAAGGAATTCCAAGTTCTGTGGACTCCAATCCATTACAAATTCACCTTCGGTGTGGCACAAACTACAAAATGTGTACTTTTCCATTCATGGACTTGGCTTTTTAATTCATCAAGCATCTTGTTTCAGAAAGGTACAAACTTTGCTGTTTTAATTTTAATTGCAATAGTAATTAATTCACTTTATGATTAAAAATGTGCATGCTTATTTATTCTTCAAAGATAAACCTCAAAAGTGATCACCCCCAAATCATTCTGGGAAGAATTCCACATCTGTCTAAACTTTGCAGAATTATTATCACACACTACATAAGTAGTGACCAACCAAGATACTTTGTTAAAGTAAAGTGAGTTTTGAAGGATGCAAGATTGTTTATTTAGGGAAAAGCGAACAGTATTATGTTTAATAAAATGTTCAGTGATCTAGGTTCTGTTGCCAGAAGGTATAACTTTATTTATAAATGTTTGTTTCTATTTATATTGTTGCCCTAAGAGACCCGCAGTAACATTTCGACATTTTGTGAAATTAATAGTTCGTAAGGTTTACCATTTCCCAGCACAGGGGTCTTGAAAATGTTTAGATGGGGTCTTTCACCAAGCAGGATATTGTTGGCCAGACTTCCTAGAGGAAGCAATGCTGCCTACAGGCCTAAATCTATCCACAAGAGGCTGAACAGTAGGGGCTGTCTAAATGATATTTAACAGAAACTAGGTGCCTCCATATAGACTATGGAAGCTTGCCTTGGCTTTGGAAAAGTGAGGAGACACAAATGTACTATTTTTAATGCAATGCAATTACTGAAATGTTTAAAACTATCTGAATGAAATGGATTACCTTCAAGTGTAAGACATACTGCATGCATTGGAAACAAGGAATCTGCATATTTTGACATCATAAGCTCTAGACAGTATCACTTTATACAAAATGCCAGCTAATAAGACATCAATGCAGTTCTAAAATTTAAAACCAGTAGAGATTTTAAAATACAATGTTAATAACAAGCCTGGTTTCAAGCATACATTTTTTTAAAGCCAGTCCTTACCTCTGCAGAAAGTGCCCTTTCATTTCAATGCACCACTGCTGCTTAGCAACATTCACAATGGCATATGTAACTGTAAACCTAATTAATGTCCGGTTGATAAACACACCTCATGGAAGATGACACACAAAGTAGTCTGTGACTATTCTACCACATCAGAGGAACCCAAAATATTTACTAAGCTCTCTTGTTAGTCTCCATAAACTAATCTTTTTATAGTCTGCCCAGACATTTCTAAAGACTACAGAGCACTTTTTTAATGATGTCTTTAAAAATCATAAAACTGCAATTGAAATTCTAAAGCATGGATCTAAAACCACTAAAAGAAGAACAGGATATAGGGTCTTAAATGGCTTCCATGGGATTACATAGTGTGTGCTTTTAATTATAAAATTTCTTGTTGTTGTTTTGTGAAGGAAAGATTATATTGGCTCTTTTAATTTAGTGCTTCTTTGGGAGAACCTTTGGTGCAACTGTGGCATTTCCTCCTATTTTGACAGAGATTGAAACTGAGAACTGAAGAGAAACGCTGCTTTGTTAATCGAGCTCCAGATCAATGTTTTCTGTAAACCAAGAGCAAAGAGGAATCACAGAGGAACCCCAGCAATGCGCAAGCAGCTGCACCTTCTAGTAAAAGGCTCCTTTAAATCTGGTCATGTTAATGATTTGACAGGCTACAATTAACTTCCATTTTTAATTGCATGTTAAGCTGAGTGCCTCATTAGGGTGCCTTCTGCCCTAGAGCTTCAGTACCTGGTATGAGTGCCAGGCTCTTGCTCTGATCAAAGCAGTGGAAAAACTGACCCCTTTCCAGGATCTAAAGTCAAAAATCAATAGCACTATGTTCCAGAACCATCGATTTGAAAGAAACTCAATTTCAAGGACTAAAAAGAACTGTGCATCTTGCAACCTACTGTATACACTGAACTTTTAAAGCTTGATTTAACTCTTAATTTAATCTTGATTTAACTTTAATTCTTAAGAAAAGACACCACAGCTCTGGAATTGAGTGTGAACTCTGGATTGAAAGCTGTCTTTTGGCAGGACTCTGGTAGGGAAAATCTTAACAGTGTACCCATCTAAGTATGGTTTTTCTTCTACTCTGTTGCACAATGAATGACACCATGTAATTTTAGTATCTTAAATTAGAAAAAGAAAATGTGTGTTCAACCATGATTAACATGGACTAACTTTGCCAAAACAATACTTAACCAATTTACTATTTTTTATCCTGAAAAAAGTGCAATAACCATAAATGTTCAAGAATCTCTCCCTATTGCAATTCAGGAGGCACTGTATCTTTACCATCTTCTGAATTCAGTTAAGAATTAGCTGGGTCTTTAGTCCAGTAAATGTTTTGTTAGACAAATATTTTGTAACATTAGTCTTTTGAATTTTTCACTGCATCCAAGGCACTATTTTGTTGTTTGAATATTAAGTCAATTTGAAACTAAATCGTACCACATTTCATTGGCTAAATACAGCTTTTAATGGAGCCAGCGCAGATTTCTGGATTTTGCAAACTTAGTTGAACATTGCCAGTTTGAGTTTCTGAACAAGTTTTACCGTATGTGATGTGAGGTCTGTGTTTTATTTCAAATTCTCTACCTGAGACCCGAGGCCTCCTGCAATTAGAGTATTGAATGGATTGACAAGGTAAATTACTGCTTAATGTTTACACAACAAAATGTCTGCCCAGTACAATATCCTACGCTGATGTCAGTAAAACCAAAGTCTGGAAATGTACAGTATAACCCAGAGTTGGTGATTTCTCTGTGCCAACACAAACAGCTATTAAAGGTTTGCATGACAGAAATCTTACGAAACAGTGCTGTGAACCGACCATTTATTACAAGTTAACAAGTAAAGCAATTGTCATTAAAAGCCCTGTTTCTTTGGGATAACTGCAGTTACGGTAGCAGAACCCCTAATGGAGCCTTTTATTGATCCTTGATAAAACACTGTCGGGGTCACAAGAAGGATAATGCGTTAATTTCTCTTCACTGTAGAATCTCCCAACATCTGGCCAAGCAACGGAAGCTGGAAAACGTCTTTAATATTCTCCTGACAGTAAAGTAGACATGTGGAAAACATTGTGATCTCTTAATCTGGAATGCTTCTGAAAAATAGACATTTGGATTCATAATTTGTAACGGTGAAGACAAAGATCCCAGAACCTGCTGTAAATAACTCGATGGCTTTGAAGACAAGGCACATAAATGCTCATTTCCTCCTCCTGGAAAGGAACTAGTTAATAGTCATGCACCTGCATGGCAAACACTATAAATAACAGAAGCTTATCATGTGGCAGTTGTAAAGCAGCCTTAATACCGTTTTTATAATAAAAATGACAAGCTCCTTTCTGTGCTTGAAATATTAGAGATATAGACAACTGTTTGGATTCACAGATGTGAGAATGTTAAGGAAAGGCTATTTAATTCAGCATATCTGTTAACTTCAATTGCGTTTCTAAACAAAAGGTATTACAAATATATTATATTATTTACATGGTTATTAAGGACCAGCTGATAAATTGACTGCATCATGGAGCTACGGTGTTTTACCTTAATGTACAGAGTTGCAATTCGCCCCGACTTTCTTTAAAAAAATGAAAGCACTTCATATTTCATTCAGTTCAGCGACTGTAATGACTCTCACTCAAGACCCAGGGAGCACATTGATAGATATTTACATTGTAGGCACATTGTTCATATTTTTTAATCTATTTTTAATTGACATGTGCTTTCTTCACAACGCCTCATGAAGCCTTCTGTCAAAGAGCAGGACGGATGACTCATCAGCCATTCACAGGCTATGCACATATTTGCAAAGAATTATGGGTGCAATGGCACCCTTCTTGTAAGAAAAATAAGACATACAGGGTTGCTCACCACATGCTGTAAATGGCCTGTAAGTGTATAATAAATAAGCTGTTTTAATGGTAGATATAACCTAGAGAGCAGGTTTTGCTAAAACTGAAATCCCTCAAGCACAACTCATACAGCAGTGACACCTTGTGGTAAACTGCATTGTGAAGAGCTGCTCTAGGCAGACCACTTACTGCTGCCTCCAAATCAATCCAGCCTAGTCTGTAACACGGCATTATGTTTATGTAAACTTCTGAGTCCAAACTGAGCAAAAAGGTATTGTAATGTAAAAACGAACAGAAGTGAGTGGAAGAGATGAAGTAAATTGGCCAGAAATGAGAAATTAAATGAGAAAAAGATTAAAATTCTATGGAGGCCAAGAACTAAACTCTTAACCAGCAAAAGAAAAAAAAAACAAGACTTCTTACATGAAACTAGCATTGCCAAAATCATCACGGTGTTCATCTGAGTAGACCAGCACTGGTTCACATGTACAGTGGAACAGTTTGTAACAGGGCCATCAACTGTCTCCATCAACATGGAGACTAGACATTTTGTGGTGGGACTATAAAGACATATTATCTTCCCGAAAGTACAAATTCTGTAATTATTTCAATTGCAAGTTTTCTCCACTCAAAATAGAGTGCAGAAAAGTTAAACAAGAACAGTCCAGTGATGCATGATTCTTATTTGATGTGAAGAGAATATTCCTATGTGGATAATACTGGGGTATTGTAAGTAGAAACTGTCTTTACGACAGTAAAATATCAGCTTTGTGTATGTGTTCCCCATGCCTGTATTTTCTTACACCAGACATCTGTTAGTCAAATAATGTACAACAGAGGTCCAATAATAAGAGACTGCACAACTCCTGTCCGAGAACAAAACATTTTCCCATTATACTAATTATTTGTTCCATCTGATATTATAGTAGTAGTGACAATTCCCTTAATCTTAGCTCTTCTGTTTCTTCTTGCTCACAATGATAAAAGCCCGAACTCTTTATGGCTGTCTTGAGCTTGCCAACCAAGCAGGGTCAGCCATTTATACAGCGCCCCTGGAGCAGTTGGGGTTAAGGGAAGCCTTGCTCAGGGCCCAACAGAGTAGGATTCCTCTGCCGGCTGCGGGATACGAATCGGCAACCTTCCAGCCACAGGCGGAGATCCTTAGCCACAGAGTCACCACACAGGTTGTAAACTGGTTGTGAACTATGGCTTAAATATAGTCAACAGAGTTCAGCTGCAATCAACCCATTCTGTTGTGTCTTTCATTCAGATGGGGATTTCTGTGGTGGACTCCTCAGTGGCTGGTCTAGGGGGTTGCCCCTATGCTGAAGGAGCCTCAGGAAATGTGTCTACTGAGGATGTCCTATATATGCTCAATGGCTTAGGTATTGATACGGTAAGTGTTGTTTGAGAAGATAAATAACCTTTGAAGCTTTATTTCTCTTTGCACCTGATCAGATTCGTGATCTTCACCCTTGATGCCTAAGATTAAACAAGAAACTTTCAGAACTGCAATCCTTTACAGTATGAATGAACGGCCAGAAATAGTCAGAATATTCATCTCTTGTGAGTTGTAACTTTTAACCTTGCAGCTTGACAAACAGAAAAGCAAGCTTTCTGTTTTTGAAAAGAGAGCAATTTGCCTGTAAATGTAATACAAGAAATTCACTCACCCTGGAAGCACAACAAGCAATAGAAGTTGGGGAAAAATAAAAGCAACAAACACTTGCATGGAGTGTTTTAATTCATCACTGAAAAAGATAACCACAACAAATGACTTCATTTAAAATCTAGTGTAAACAGAATGTTCACAGGTAAAGTCACAAAGATTTATGGGAAACTAAAGGATATGCATCCGTTTTAGCGACATAAATGAAGGTTTATCAGGAAAACGTAAAATGGTTATTTTATTAAAAAAAAAAAACTGATTTTCCTGTGACTGTATCCATTGAAAGGTGCTAACAGTGCCTACATTAAAAGCATTTGTCTACAAATAAGGAAAATGTCAGAGCAGAGAGAGTCTTTATCCACAAGAGCCAATTTATGTTGACAATATAATGAAACCCGCACAAGTAAACAACACACATGTACTGTACATGCACAGGAGAATCATCTGTTGAGTTGTGGCATTGCCGCAGCTATAAATAAGAATTTAAACCTGTTTGTTTTTAAGATGAGAAAATCAGTATCTTCGTTCTGAGAGGGAAAAAATGAATTAATTAAACAAAGGGTGCGAAGGGCCCTTTTAGGATGAAATGTTTTAGGCAAGAATCGTACCTGATAGACAGGAGTAGGTTCCGGAAGATCAACACCGACGATTTTGTGACACACTTTGGCAATACTCCCCAACTTCAGATCGCCAAACCCATAGATCAGTGCAAACGTTAAAGCAGATTCTATCTACCTTAAAATGTTTAAGCTTCCTTAAAGCTAACAAGCTAGGACTTTCTCTGCTCTACTCGTTACATTAAAAACTGTTTTACTGCTAGGGGTCCCCCTTGTGGTTCTGATATAAGTTTATTTGTGCTTCAAAAGATTTGATTTCGGACCGTGTTTGCCACTGCAGGGAGTGGATCTTGACAGAGTGATGGAAGCTGGGGACTTCATCTGCAAAGCCTTAAACCGGAAGACAAGCTCCAAAGTTGCTCAAGCCATCTACAAGCCCTAGGTTTTAAACTGTTGTTTCCTATCGAACAGGAAGAAAATATGCCATCATGCGCTCCTCTGTGTTATCTGTTCACCTGCGCTTTGATATGTACTGTATATTTTGCACTGTTACCTATCTATGCTGCAGGAAAAAGATACAACCTTGTAATATAAAGCACTGCAGAGCCGAAGTACATACTGTATATATTAATGCTGATAACCATTTTAAAACCAACGATTGTGATCGTTGCAATTTCTAATCATACATTTGTGTGGATTTTGGATGTGTAGTCTACTGATGAAATGAGAAGGGAAATCATTCCACACTTGTGAAAGCAATTCCTTTGAGTTGGTGTTTCCCGAACTCCATGGTCATTCATTTCCTGCTAGAAATAGTTGTAATTGGATTCAGATTGGAGTCCTAGGTAGGTCATGGGGGCCACCACACTCGAGAAACCAGCAAAGCTGATCATTATCATCAGGAAAATATATTTTCATTTCCTGAATTCTTTCCAGGCAGATGGTTCCAAGCACCACCATGTTGTACATATCTATAACTTTACTTTTTCCAGTTTAAGTCCCTCAGAAATGTTAATGTCTCCCTTCTGCCAAACACTGAACCTTTACCTTTAATGCTAAAAACAAGTGACACTTTTCCTCATCATAGGATTGCAGAAATGATGGTATTTTCTTTAGTAACACCACATCTTCACATGAAATGCTTGACATTTTCCTATATACTGTAAGTTAGTGGAAACTATTTTTCATTCAATAACTTCGTTCATTTAATGTTATTCATGCAATGACTAATTACTTAGTCAAAGAGAAATTATGCAGCACATCCTAATATCTACCTGAAACAGTAGAAGTTTTTGGAAATAGTGAATAAAAGGGCTTTCGAAACTTTTATGCCCCAATCACTATCACATGAGCCACTGTCCTTCTCCAGCAGTGTTGAGATATTAACTGTATTTATTATCTCAATATAACTGTCCACCTGCTCCACTGGGGAGAATTGTCATCTACATCCATTCTGAAATTCATTCTGAGTATTTAGAGTTTTATCCAAAACAGTTAATTCAAGAGCTTTGATTTCCCTTAATTTTGTTCTCAATTATGAAATTCTTTTTGGTTGCTTGCAATGATTCCTCGTGCCTGATGTCCAAACAGATGTCCATCTACCGGTGTCCTCAGTGGTGCATGAGTGCAGCTACTGACATCATACAACCACACAGGGAGCAGGTGTGTGACTGAATGGAACTACAGCAAACCCTCGGCTCAACAGACACAATGTGCTAAAGGGGAATTCTGTCCGTGAAATCCTAAATACTAGACTTTTCATGTACAGTACCTTCTGGATTTTTCACAATAAGATTGCCGAAACAGATCAAATGACTTGAAAGCAATAAACATTGCAACATTTCTCATAAAGTGCGAAGGTCTCTTCTATTCAAACTTCCACGGTCCTGGCCGACACAGGTGTGGGTAAAGAGATCAGTGCCACCTGGGACCCAATAGCATCTGCCCCCCCGTTACTGTCCTGGACCGGACCGGACCAGAACACCTAGCTGGGATGTGTCCAGGTGGAAAGACTGGCTGGATTGAACAACAGTATACATTATTCTCTAACATTTTATTTAAATACAGGATTGCAAACAGATCCCAAGTGATCTTAATATTAATTAATATGTATTATTTAAATATAGTAATAATACTAGGTATATAATTTATGAAATATTATACAATAGAGACAGTAGTGGCATCAGCTGCTGCAGTCAGGTCTGACAGCTAAACTCTGAGCGAAGCCTGGAAACCTCTGTCTTTCTAGTGTTTAAATGTAATTAAATAAAGATATTATGTAAAATGTCTTGCATCCAAAAACTAACCGACGTCAAGTTGTTTCAAGGCCCAAGGTCCCGAGCTTTCCAAAAAAAAAAAATGCTGGACAGAAACTCAAGGAGCAAAAACACGTCAATTTATTGAGTAAAAAGTGCACCAGCGCACAATACACAGGCTTGAGCACAGCTGTGCCAGCGCTCAATACACAGGCTGAAGAGTATTTAATCGGATTCAGGGATCATGCCACTCCCTACAAAATTAGAACACGGCGAGTTAAGATATGCAAAGAATTTGGGGAAAAAGTGGCAGCAGTACAATGTCAATCAGGAAGGTAACCTGCAGGAAACAATTAATGTAATCACAGATATTCAACTGCACAGAGGGATGTGACACGTTCACCATCTATTCAAATCTACTCTGCAATTTTAACAATACTTTGTCATGTCAAAAGTTCACGATATGCTTGAATGTTCTTAGGCATTTAAAACAAGTGCAATTTAATACATTTACGCGCGGAGTGAAGCTATTTAAGAGACGAGCAGATTCTCATTTTATGACTTGAACGTTTCGTGAAAGCATACCTCATTTTTTGAAGAAGGATTTCTTAAAACCACGTGTGAAATCATTACTGTGTAAGGGCATAAGCAGTGTCCGGGGTAAAAACCGAAAGGAGTCGCGTTAGGAATAAAGACAATTCTGTGCTTAGAAACGAAACAAAACACGTATAAAGTTATGGATCTGAAAACACTAACAATAACCAGTCTGCAGGGTTAATGAAACAGTATTCCAGTTTAAGCTGTCTGAGACAATTAACAGAATCGGCTGCCGTGTGAAAAATAAAAAGCTGCGAAACCATGTCGACAGCTACTGATTTAATGTCCAGAAGTAAAAACATAGATTTGACAGCAATACAGCCGAAGTTACCAACAATGTGATTTTACCCATCAGTAAACAACGACATATTTTTTATTTTTTGTACTGCAGCAACACAACAACCATTCTAAACCAGCAGCTCTATCGCGTAAATCACGCGTCACCATGTCGCTACAATATGACGTAACGATATAGGCGGGCGCGATAGGTCTTTTATCTAATCAACCCAGGGATTTTGGTATTCACGGAGATTGACGCGGATCTTCTCCAATGATCATGGACATCCTGGAATTCAGGGTGAGTGACGCGATTCTTATCCAATCAGTGTGGGCTTTCTGGCTCATCAGCCGTGAGTGATGCTACTCTTGTCCAATCAGCGCTGATGTTCTGATCCTGGAATTGCGGTAGAAAATGACACCTCTGAGGAATGTCCGCTGGGTGGCAACAGTTATACAGCAGTCTGTGAAGGTGAGTGTTAAAGTCCTTCTTAATCCCAAAAGTAGTTCACACAAATCTTGTTGCGTAGAGGTTAATTATTCTATCTGAATCCTCAAACCACGTTCGAAATGTTTATCGTTCTCGCTGTTTTCTTGATGTTAATTTGCATGTTGTGTTTGTGTTGATATATTGCGGTGTCGATGGGTCAATGGTCTCCAGCCCTGAGCTCAATTGCAACCAGTGCAGATCAAAGCAGTTGAACTGGGGCTCAGTACGGCGCTGAGAGCTCATCGTTGTTGTTGCTCTAATGAGCTGCATTGGGCTCCGAATCGGAACATTTCAATTTCATCTGATTAGCACGTTAATACGTAGGCCACGTGAATTAATAATTATTACTGTGCTCATTGGTGTTTGTGGGTCTTACCCGATTAAGTCGTGGCTTAGATGCATACTGTACATTACAGGTATGTTGAGCAATGACTGACAAAGTTATGAACTACATAAGTCTCACAGCAGAGTTGGCAAATCGTTAGATAAAGCAGCTTATGTCCAAAAGCGTTAGCAATTTTGTTACTTTATCATTAATATAAGGTGCTGGTACAAGGGAGTGGGTCTCATCTGCAAGTAAAGAACAAATTGTACTTGCAGCTCTAAAAGGGTAAACTTTGGAGACTTCTGTAACAAAACTTTCAGGTAATTTCCGTTTGCTGTTCCCTTGACCTTGTGAGCCTTTGAAATGTTGAAACTGCGTTTTGCTTACCTCCCATTTAGCCTGCCTACCATCCCATAAGAGCCACTGTCTCTGCGGACTGTGTGGTCCTGGACAATAAACAGTATATGTTTGATTTGTGAAGCTTTTAAATTAAATATTTCATTAATATCATTTGAGTTTTTTTATGATCTTTTATTACAGAACAGCTTTAAAGCTATCAAGTCACAAGTGTCTACTGTAGTGTAGTGGCCAGTATGATTAATTTGATCATGTAACCATCGGGCACAAGGGAGAGAAAAACAACAAACTCCAAAGAAGAAAAAGAAATCTCAGGGGGTCCAAGGCCTGATGGTTGACCTCCCCTCCAGGCCCTAGCTGTGTATGAAAAGCAGTGATTAAAACATTTACAGTACATAGAACCCAGGTGGGAGAGATGGAGTGAAATCTACTAAAGATATCATGTGAGAGAAGATGTGCATGTTGCATGTGTCCATGTTTGTATTTTTCAGATCTGTTACTACATCTTCTGCTTGCAAATCATACTATTGCAAAATGTATAGAACTGGGTGTCTTCCTTCTTCACCTTTTTAAATTCCCCTGATGAGATGTGCAATTCATGAAACCAGTTTTCAAGACACTGTCACAAGTTAACCTATTTCATTTCAATGAGATGTTTTGGAAGGAGACACCAGTATGTATCACATATTGCATTAACCGGAAAGCAAAATACTTTTGGTATACAAAACCAAAATACAGTATGTGTGAAGCCCTTTACATTACACATGCATGGAGAGATGAGGTGCACAAGCCAAATAATTTTATTTATACTCTTTCAGAACGCATTCAAATCCATCCATCCATTTTCTATCCCCTTTATCCAACATACAGCAGGGTCACTGGTTAGGAGTCCATCCCAGCGAGCAACAGGTGCAAGGGACACCAGTCACGATAAAATTAATTACACCAAGTCTATTTTTTTAATTTCAAGGAAGACTTTGGAATTTGTTCAGTTGTGAACACAAGACACATCTTTAGAGCGCAGCTTTTATGTTCACGCATGGTGGCCTTTTAAGGAAAGCACACAGAGATGGTGAGCAAATATTAGATTGTCACTCTTTGTTGTTGACTTTACAGGTAGTATCACCCACTCTGTGCATTTGTGAGTACTTATCAGGCTTTTATCATGCTTACCATGAAAACAGAAGGTGTCTTTAGCATCTGTGTTTTGAATAATTCCTAGTAACACGACACTCTTAATCTCTCATGAATAAAAGCATCTCGATGGGCAATAGCCTTATGAAGTACTATGACAAATAATCATGCTTTTCCAACATCATTTTTAAAAAATGACAATTTCATGAAAGAAGAAGGAACACCTGTGATGATTCTGTACTACTTCCATTTCTTAAAACTATAGACTCCCTTAAGCTTAAATAAACAATTCCTGATAGTTAATCAATGCTTTCTCACGCTCTTGTTATTGGATGTGCCATTATCAGTTAGGGTCTGAGCCTTCTTCACATTGTCATGAATCCATGCTGTCCCTTCTTAATAATAAAATGACATTTTTGCAGAATCATTTCACATTAGCCCTTTTACAGTCTGCATGTGGGTGTATGATAGTGTGCATTGCATACAATAATTAAAGACTAAATGAAAACAGGTAATTCAAAATGATGTTTATTAATTAAACAGAACACAAAGTACAGTACTGTCCACAACACCTAAAACAAGCAGACAAATAAGGAAACTGAAAAATATAAACAGTGAATCCTGATAAGTAAGGAGCAAGAGAGTAAAGATGCTGCCAAAATATTAACAGTTTCCTCCTTCACCTTTTTCCATATGACACTACCAAGAAAAAAAAAAACCTTCAAATGCAGCCTCATGTGGTAGTATTTTTGTGTTCCCCATTGTATCGCACAGTAACATTTCCAAAGTCAAAGCTTTAGGTGGAAATAATTTTGAAACTGCATTAAATATTCAAAACATACAGTGGAATACTGTATTCAATGACAGAAGTACTGTATGTCAATACACAGAAGTGTAAAGTACACGTGATGTGAGCATGCACAAAAGGGCACAGACTAGGTTTGCTAGTTCCCATCACACTGCAGAAATGCACCTGCTTAGTGAGACCAAAAGAAGGCAGACGCTGTGCTGAAATCACCGACGGGAAGGCATCTAGGGCCCAACTATCTCTGTGGGGAGAGCATGCAAACTCCACACAAACAGCACTCTGGGTCTGGAATTGAACCCGGGGCCCCAGCACTGTTAAGCACCAATGCTGACCAGTGGGCAGTTATGGAGTATTCAATGGTCTCTTGTAGGAACAGTGTATCAAAAGGTAAAACTCTGTTGAAGACTGCTTTCTGAATGAGACTACAGAAGTTTATACTTACCAAACATACCAAAACTTGTTTCACATAGAGAAAAGGAGTAAAATTTAAAATGCAAGGCTGAATTCAGTAAAACATAATATGCAAACACTTAAATATATACACTTCCATGTCCAGCCTTTGAAATAATGGTATTGCTGATGTCATGTTCAGATTTCCTATCAGAAATGATCGAACAGTATACTGTATGTATATTTTAATGTATGAATAAAATCAGTAAATCACAAGACAATCATTAGCATTGGTAGATGGAAGATATCTGGGTCTCTCAGGTGGCCTGCAGATTCTGCAAAACATTATAACTAATGTTTACATTTCCATGCAGTATGTAGGTAAAGTAAAATATGACAGAATATTGTGATCCTCATAAAAACATGGAGATGATAACACTGTTGCTAAAATTGAAATAGTAACACAGTGGATAAAATATTTAATCATGCAAGCCTGTAACTACCAGTATTATTCCAGATGTAAAGTACCAAATAAACAAAGTAAACAATTTGAGTATAAAAATCTTCACAATGTCTGTGATGAGTGCAGAATGCCATATCCAAGTCTACATTTTTCAAATATGTTAATTAGGCTGGTTAGTTCTTTAAGTAGTAAATAGTAATACCATCAATTGTAAATAGAAAATAACACTCCAAGGAACTGAATGTTACTGACATACCTTTTTTTGTGCAAAACCCACATGGTAACTCCAATCACAAGTAATATCACTATGATGTATACAAAAACAAAAGCAACTGTTCCTGTAAAAGAGTATTGGAATCAGAATCAGATATGCGCACACAGTGAGAACACAGAAATTTACATCAGTAGTGCTCTGGGTTTGGTATTATGAATGGAGTTAAAACTGCTAAATCTTAATTAAGAATAATAAGTACAGACAGCCATTCAGAAAGTCATGATTTTTAAATTGGCACAAGAAAAATACAACCATGCCCTGCATGAGTAATAAAGAGTTGAGTAATAAGTCTGCAAAATTAGATGCTCTGCATGAACAATCAGAAGAAACCAGTCTCTGTTAGGGACAGACCACAGTGACGACGGATCACACCACGTCACTTCACATCGGTCTGATCCATAGCATAGTCATCACTTCTACACTGCAGTGGCTACGGTACATGAAATTGCTGGATGGAACTGCCTGCATAGGAGCAGAATGATTTTGCCATCTGTGTGAAAATGATCTGCATGCTTGGAGGCCGTTCAGTGGTAACAGTGATGCCTGAAAGACAAAATCACCATCTTCTAAGGGCCACAGAACATCTGAGGTTGTGGCAGACAGTGGTCGAGCGTTTTGATTCACCAATAAATGCAGTTTTTGCTCTTGACAGACCTGACAAATTGAAGCTTGCGGGGACAGCACTGATCCATTCAGAAAGTCCCTATGACAACAATTTTACAATTTTTTCAGGTCGGTCATTCATTGCCGATTTTCCAGCAGGTCAATGCAAAACCACACAGTTCTATGTGAACAAGAGCACGATTCAGATTACTTTTGAGGTCTTGACATGTCCAGATTCTTCTCCTGACCAGAGTTAAACAGAACATGTGGGACCAACTCATTACTGTCATCCACAAGAAACAAGGCTTCAGCAGGGACTGATCGGTTCTGTGTCAGTTCTGCCAGAACTTCTCGGGCCATATCCGATACTGACTGTGTAATGATTCATTCTGACAGTGCATCACATTTCACACCGAAAACATACAATGATTCACTGAGATATAGTTTTTCTCACATTTGTTTTGTGTGTGATATCTTTATTTACAATATTGGCTTAAAACCATTAGGCCTGAGTGTTGCATTTCTTTTGTGCAGCAGTACAGTGCATGAGACACAGACACGTGATTAATTAGTTCTATCCAGGAAACAACCCAAATCCTAGGGAATAGTGCAAATCCCACAATTCAGGAATGAATGGTTCTATAGTTAAAGCCTCACTTACAATATTAACAATATGTGTACTTACCACTGAATAAAGAGCTTAATCCTGTTTTGCTGGACACATTGTCAAGAGAACCCCCATACAGTGGAAAACTCTCTCTTGTTAGATGGAACACTTCAAAGAAAAATTACATTAGAAATAATCTAAAATTATTCATACTGTATCTACATTATTTTCAGTGTAGTAAATAAAACATTTTTGCAGAGAATTGTACATGCATTGTCACTATTTTGATTGCAAATGGACACCTTGAACTTGATCACAGTAAAAGGAAGATTTTTAGGTGCAGAGAGTAATCATTATTAAGGATTGCAAGAGAGTGCGCATTATATCTGGGCTGCCCTCCATCGCTTTTCTTAGGTCAAAACCTTCTTAATGCAGGATGTTTTACATAGTACAGTATGTAATGTGATCAAAATAATTTAGAACTGAAATGGTCATTATTTATCGACATGGCATTTGTAGTCCAGATAACTACTTACCAAAGTGCGACCTATTGTGTAGCACATTATTAAGCTGTTTGCACTTTAATTGCTCTGTGTTTTGCAGTCCATTGCAGGTGCAAGGGTGCTGGAGGAATGTTCCCATTGTGCCAATGAAGGCGGCTCTGCATTCATTGTCATCAGTGCGCATCATTTCCTCATGCATGTGACTTTCACAGCCATCCCCAGCATGGCCTCTGCAAACTGCCCTTCCACCTCCCCAGCACTTAGAATGGAATACTTCATATCTGTGCCTAATGGGTATAAGTCACAAATTAGTTGGCTCATCATGCTGCAAAACAGCACATTTTTAAATTGAACAACCTAACTATTGCAAAGTAATTAAGAAAAAAGGATATTGAAAATACATGAACAAAGTTCTTAAGGGGTTATTTCAATACCTTACATTATTAGTAAAAAAAGACAAGCACATGACAAGTCATTAATCTTTGTGCTCATAAACGGATTTGACCCTTTATTCTGATGCTCCCTGGAGCCCACCTGCATGATGTTTCCTCAAGGCATCTGTCCAGCACTTCCAGGCACGTCGGCGAAGTACCCTGCTGTTCTGAGCAGAAACGACTGTGCAGGACGTCTTTAACTTGCAGACACTGATCATCTGTAGGGCTGCAGTCGCAGAAAGCCAGCATCACAGCGACGCTGTAAGGCATTTGGTCATAAAACAGCTGCACAGCTCTTTGGCAGTGAGTGGCATTGCAGTGATTTGGGTTTCCAGAACATGCTTGTATGTGGGGTACCATCTGTCTGTTACATATTTCGTCTTGTAGACAGAGCCTCGTGACATCCAAGCACGATCCCTTCCTTCCGTACGCTGGAAGACGGTTTTTAAGCAGAGCATGAAAAATACAGGCGTTTAATTGGATGAAGCCTTAACACCATTAATGATTTGGCTGATGGTCAGAAGCTTATTTTTATTTCCATTTTGCCATCGCCTAATCAGCCTTGCTTTAGGAGTACCATCCTCATGCCAGCTTAGAGCGTGAGGGAGATGAACCTGGAACCTGAGCACTGCAAGCTCTCAGCTGCTGAGAGATGACCCCAGGGGTTACTGCTGAGCAACAGACTCATAGTGGCTCAAGTAGCAGGGCTTTGACTTGTTAGGTCACCTGGAAACCCTGATAAAAAGTCTGTCTTTTGCCTGATAAAAAATGTCTAAAAACTCTTTAGAATATGCAGAGCCTTCAAATAATCAAATTCAGTGACACAGATATTCATATACAGTAGTAGTGCAAAGTAAAATTAGTTGGAAAACACCTTGGTTAAATTCTGTTGTTTCATTATGTGTAACGCCATCAACTCATTGACTTTATCACTGACTTAAAGCAAAGAATAAGTCTATAAAAAAAATCAAAAATCACAACTGGTATTTTCAAAAATGACAACTACACTATACTTCTTCAGATAAATCAGGTAGGCTTGTTTTTTTCTTCTTAGGATGTAGAACAAATTTCACACTTTACCATGTTTTGCAAGAGCACTTGATTCCCATAAACGCTTGGGATCCTTTTCAGGTTTAACTGCAATGAAAAGAGGAGGCTTTTATAAGGGCTTTGAAAATGTTTTGATAAAACAGGTCCACACGTAAATCCGGACCCAAGGACACAAGCACAAGGGATACAAAGGTGAATTCAGGTCTGAGAACAACCGTGATTGCACACAGCAGACTACAAAGACAAAGGAAATCTACATACATTCTTCCACGCTTAGGTAAAGTCTGGCCGCCTAGTGCCCTGATCCCAATATTTTTTTCAGAAGGCTGCTTATTCCTGGTAAGAGTTGTGGGAAACCCGAGCCGGTCTTGGAAGCATAGGGCACAAGGCAGGACTACAGCCTGGATGGGGATTCTGATCCGTCACAGAGCACACATGCAAATACAGGGTCAAGCACACCAGTCAATCTGGTTAACATGCCTTCTGAAGCTGGAAGGAAACTGGAGAAACTAAATACCCATGTGAACATTGAGAGGACCTGCAGGCTTTACACAGAAGGTGCCCCAGTCTGGAATTGTACCCAGTACCTAAGAAGTCTGAAGCCTCAGAAGCACTAACCAGTGTTAAGTGAAGTGAAGTGTTATTTTTATAAATAATAAAAACATTAGGGTACTTACACATATTGACAACCTGCCCCTCAGATGTGTTTTCATGCCTTGCATTTGAATGATCCTGATATTTCTCATCATGTTTGATGCAGGAGTTATTGTACAAGGTGTTCCAAATTTTTACACAGTTTCTCCTTCTCTGGCTGGAGCAGGTGCAGTTAGCCAGTGGTGTAGCGCTCACAAGCTCTTTCCAAGCAGAAAGGCAAAAGTGCCAGAAGCTCACTGTGTTGCACTGGCCTTTGTCTGTGCGGCACAAATCCTTCATGTTCTCGTACAGGCTGGAGCAGTGCTGGGACTCCTGACAGTGCTCCAGGGCAGAGACACAGCTCAGTGGGGCAATAGCATGGCCTCTTGTACCTCTCCACTTTCCTGTCCCCTCACACTGTGTGCGCTGCTTTTGTCCCAGGCCATCTGAGAAACAGCATGCACATATCCACACAGAAAAGGAATTAACAACTTTTAAGGTCCCATACACTCTTTCAAACATTTTTGTACAAAGACCAGTCAATAATAGAGTTCACCATTTTCGAATCAGCATTTTGGCTTGTAACTGAGATTTTTGACATTTGAAGGAATATACAGTACCGTATGGACAAAAACTGTGTTTTGAATTACAACTGAAAAGTAAAACATATTCAACATCTTTGCTACTCCTACAGAATTCAATAGTTGCATTTTCACACAAACCAGTGGTAATAATAAGCGAATGAATTCAATATTTTTAATTTCCACAGTTTAGATAGCAAGTTCTGCTGTTCCAAAAGGTTTAGCTTATTGATCATCCTCCTTGCTAGAGATGGACTGAAAATGTACAGAATCTCAGCACAGACATGACATAAACTGATCCCCAGTCATTCTCGAGAAACTGAAACAGTGAAACATTTCACTTGACAGTTTTCTAGCGCACTCTGTACATTTCAGGTAAGTATTGTTCTGGCAAGCCCTGGATGAAGTCAAGTTTAGACTAAAATCAAGACTGCTTTGTTTTTAAAACATTATTTGTGTAACATGCTTATTCTCAGGAAAAGGGTATTGCAATATTTGTTTTAAACACTTTATTTATACACTTTATGAGTTGCACACTATTTTTACTCCAAATACTGTACTTTATTTCCAGTCAGACTTAGCAGCTAAAAATATTAATCTTACCCGATCTGTCAGTGCACTGGGGAGCAATTAACCTGAGAATACTGCAGGAAACATCTTCCATGGACAAACAACCTTTGAGTTCCGGGTAACTGTTCATCATGTACTGAACCGTCATATTACATCTGTGGGACAGGTTAATTCTGCAGCTTTCGCCTGTGTCAATCAAACAAAATGATACACAATTTAGGATAATATGCCATCTCATTGTCATGTTTATAACCATTATGGGTATCCCCATGGCAAGCTGTTTCCAAGGGAAAGAAGAACAATAGATTTGGAGGGTCTCGGGGTCCTGCAAAGTTCCTTTCATAGTCTTCACAGAGGTTTAATGCTGGAGTTAATGTTACAGCTAGAGCTATCCACTTCCTGTGCAAAACCAGGGTACCAGCTTCAACAACATGGCTGGGTAGCTTGTCACTACTCTTACAACTGTTTGGGTAAAGACGTGAGTTCTGTTCCTGGTCCTACTGTAAATGCACTATGCAGTTACCACTTGAGCCCTCTGATTAGTGTTCCCTGATTTGACTTATAATGTAAGATGGCCAAATAAGACCATTAATTTGTAGCCACAGTAGGAAATAATTTTGAGTCATTTAAGTTAAAATACAGTAAGTATTAGTTTTCTGGCAAATACACTTCTGGGTGAAGATTAGCATAGGTCACTGTACTGTACTTTGCAGTGAATTACAGAAAGGCTTAAAAGCCTATAAAAGTAAAGGCAATACTTTAAAATTCAATTGTCAAAACGGTTCCCTATATACAAAGTAAGGAGATTAGGATTTAACATTTTTTAAACACATACCAGTGTTTTTTGCTTTACTTCTATAGAAAAACATTTTACTTTGATGGTTCTATCACTAATGCATTTGGCCTGAACTAAATGGCTCCCATCCTGGTATTACAATTTAATTGTATTCAAATTGTCATTTATCCTCACTACAAATCAATCATGTCACCTTGTTACAGAACATGAGGAACTAAACAGATTTTCCACCTCCACTTTTGTGGCATTCAGACTTCCAGCTCCTGGTTGCATTTCATTTTTTCTGCCCGATTTCATGGGGATGAATTATAATTCAATATAATTTATCTCATATTGGGTTTTTTTATGTAATGGATGTGTTAAAGTTATTGAATAAAACGGTAGAACCGTTAGGGACATATTAAACTCAGGCAAATAAAAAAATACACTCTTTGCCTTGGGGAAAAACCATTTACCTGTTGCATTGCAGACATTTATTAGTAAATCCCAGGCACTTCTGCAAGCACTTGAGTCTGAGGCACACTTCTCCTTGGCCATTATACAGTCTGCAGTCTTGGATGGGATGGTGCAGATCATCAGATACACCAGCACGCCTGAGAAAAACATTAAGCTGAATATTTGGTAAAACATACTGAACTATCTTTTAATGCTAGAATTATATAAGGGTCATTATTCCTTTCCAACCTAAGCTGAGCCAATGCGCAACTATCTCATTATATTTCTGGACTAGTTAACTTGGGTATTTTTTTGGAGAAGGCTGTTTCAATTTTGTAGATTATATCAACAATAATAATAACTTAGAGTTTGAAAAGTACTGAAAAGGGGGCTTTCTATTCAAGCAGTTTAAAGCCAGATGTATTTTTTTCTTAACTTTTTATACATATTTTGCTTTTTTACTAGTTAGGTTTGTTTTGAAGCAGGACTGAAGGATTTCTTTTGGAATGATGCATTATAAGCAAGTCAAAGTATTAATTCATGTAAGTGGAAATAAAAATTAAAAGTTTAAACAAACTGAATTTTCCATCTTACAAATTTAAGAAAACGAAGAAATGAGATAATGACAATGAGTGCATTTTGTCTTTAACTTCTACCAGCTGTATTCCAATATCTCTATATTGCTGAGAATCAAATACTGAACTGTTCTGCCATTGTAGTGTACGCATATCTCAAAACAAAACAGATTTTTGTATTATTTCAAATATAGTTTTGATTTATTTTTGAAGAAAAAGTAAGATTGTTAAATGTTCTAAAAAAAACTTGTATTTAGAAATTAAGAAAGGGAAGCTCAATAATACTGCTGTGTAAACCTTTTCTGATCCTTTGAAACAGGGTACTATGTGCTCAGTTTTTTTCTGATAATTTAATGCCCTCCTACCATCAGTAAACACTCACGTTTGTTCAGAGAAAGTAACCACTTTCAATAGGTTTATTTCAACTAAAGGTCGAAATACATACTTCAAACGTGTAGATTCACACACTCCTCTTGCCCACCTTTGATCCCTGAAAGCGTAGCTTATTGTTTTTCTGGGCACTAACTAAATACAGTTCAAATAAAATAAATACAGCCACGGGTCTGAAGCAGCTCCTCGCGACGTTTTTTCTCCCTTAATTACTTAAACCAAATACACCAACGTTTACCTACCTAAGACACATTATAATCGACAACTCTTATTCATGTTTTCTTCAGGCAGAAACCTTAGAGCATCAGTAACAATGTTTAACCAAAATAAGAAACAAAATGACAGATTACATCTCATATAATTGCATTCTAATTTTTCTCTTGGGAGCTATATAAGGACAGTTAGTCAGCTTTTACGTTTCGTTACCATACTTTATGATTGTTAAAATGTGAAATCACTCTTGATCCTTCACGTCAGAAGTACTCAATAATAACATGCTTCTACAGTGCATTCAAAACTTTTGGAGGCAATCTTAACGTATTTTTCAATATTTGTGCAGTTTTGACAATAAATTCCCCATGAACGTCATGTCAAATTTCAGCTACAGAAGATTTGTATGAAACTGTTCGTACGTTTAAGGCAAGTAAAGCGGCTACTCACCCAGAATCAGCCTGACATTCATTGCGGGAGGTGAAACTCACCTCTGCTGCCCGGTCTGGACTGCTGCCTCTCCAGGACGCCTGCAGATCTAGGCGGTGCGGGGCCACACCAGCCTCAACGTGACGTCACCTTGAAGGGCGACCCCACGAAGTGGAAACCTGGATACTTGGCAAACATTCTGAATTTTAAACGTAGATATTTTTTTTCAGTTCTTGTTTGCTTCACCGACAAAAGGTTAGTTACAAGCATTGTAGTTAATTGCAACATTATTACAAAATTCGTGATCAATTTTGTTGTTTTTATTGCTATGATGAAATAGTACTGCTTATAAGACGTCTAGACATCGAATACGCACCTGGGGGAACGTATAGATTGCCGAAGAAGTAGGAACTGGGACAACATTCCCGAAGCTGTAATCGGTTAACGCTTTTCACATTAGTTCACCAGTTGAATTATTTGCTGTGATAAGTTTTATTCGCTTGCAATTTTTTTTGACCACAAGTTAAAGTTCACGTGAAAGTATTGCACTGTATTGTGAAGTAACTATCGCACCACCTTGTAAGTTCAACAAAGATGCGTTGTGAGAACAACAATTCAAAATGAAGGAATAATGAATCACAGACCACTGCTACCTTTTTTTACGAACAAATATCACATTTACAATATTAATAAACAAAACCGATACAACCAATTAGAAATCAGTTTAAAACAAATTAACGCAAAGCAAGAGTAGTACGTAAAAGTACTACGTACTGTAAATAGTGTCAATCAGTGCACATATTCTATCCGGACGTTGAAAGACAAGGTTAATTCATTTACTTGAATAATATGGCAAACATACAGTAATACGTTGACCTCAATTCGTGATGTGTGCTTTGCAAAGAGAAACTCCAATATGTGTACATAAAATTATTTAATATAATGGGAAATCTGCATAACATAGTAAGCATAGAGTGGCAGTCAAAATTAAAGGTACTGTATGCTTTTAAATGTAGCTGATACAACTATGAGCAGGAGGACCATCAGAAAACATTTTATAATCCTATCAAAATATAATTTGTCATTTCCCTGCAAGCTCTTCACGAAATACTCCCCCTCGTCACTGGTTACATGACAGCTGCAGACGTTCGTGGGATTTATCAAATGATATAAAGTATTCCTGTGTTTTAAGACGGTCAGATTTGTACATCTTGAAGAGAACATTTTTGCGAGTTGTCACCTCTCCACCTTTTCAAAAGGAGTTATGGTCATGCAGTCTCGTGTTTTCTTTCCTATTTCTATAAATAAGGTGTTTCCTTGCTAAAGAAATAAGTTACAAATATGCATTTGCTGAAGACCAAGTATAAAAAAACGAATTCTTCACATCAGCGGTCATCATTCTAGCCTGTGAAAGGTGTCTACAGAGGTAACCACCAATATGTAACAAAGAATCATTTAACTGAAATTGTCTTCTGCAATTGTGGCTTTGGTTCCATGGAGGATCACTTGATAAAATCCAAGTAAAATATATCCTCTTCCATATTTTCCTTTGAAATTGACGACATGTCTGATTTATGCGAGGTTTTCTGTTGTTAGCAGGATTTCTGTAAAATATGGAATCAACATAATTCTGACTGCCACTGCATATCAGTAACATAGACTTTTGTAGTTATGAATATCCAACATTAACCTTAACACATGCTTATTAGGTGCACATCAGAGACATCAGAATTAAACAGGATCCCAGAACCCAGCTACTACAGTATATATAAAGGTTAACAACAGGACAACTAAACCTTCACTTAAAACCTTGACACTGTTCTTAAATTTAATTGAAAAATGAATTGAATGATAAAAACAACAAGACAATGAGAAGGTGAAGTATATGGTGTGAATCATTTACAGTACTTTCACTGTATTCAATGAAGGATGAAATACTGCCAGAAAAGCATGGATGACCAGTATAATTCCACATAAGCAGCCCAATCTGATCAGACTGACACTAAGCTGTTGAGCAGATTTCAACAGATTTGATTTTTTTGTCATTCACGACTCAAAAGGTCTCACAGTGCAAGAGGGGGTTACTGTGGAAACAGTAACTCGCTGTGATCGTGCTGTCAGGCCTCAGTCACGCAGAGAAAGAATGTGTTCACCACACAAGGACTGGGAGCTCCGTGTGCCTTTTCACCAGGACCACCAAGACATCCTAGATCATTTTTTCAGCATTCGCACATACAGTACCTGGCAGGTCCTTTAGCCGGAGATAAGGAACTTAGCCATGTGAAAGGTACACTCAACACAGGAAGCTGTCCTGTAAAACCCATGCAGTAAATGGGAATTGATCATACAGAAGGCTGTCACCAGGTGCTCCGTTTGCTTGGCTGCCTTAAACTGTCCCATTCCATACTTTAGGGATTTGCTCCCCAATCAACCATTACTGGCTCTGGGACTATATAAAGGAATAGAAGCAAATGAGCCACATGGGGAAAATGGCCTCCTTGCCTTATATGGACATTGTATTATCCTTTGATCCTTTAAATGTTGGACTGAATAATTTGTGGTCTGTTAGTTTACTGGACAGGGACTTGTGTATTAGACATAGACAGTTCATCTTATATTTTCAGTGAAATTTCCCCTTGTTTGACGTGAGCTCTTTGGTGGTGTACCACTGGTCACTGCACATGCAGTGCCTATCTAGGTACTGGTTCCCAGCGAGAGTCCTTCCCACTCATTGTCATTGAAAACAGTAGCTGGGCCACTCCTGCCAGTGCTTCCTACCAGGTAGTTTTATCCCCGTCGTTGGACCTCAGTGTCCCCATACTGGTCAGGACTAATTGTTCTGAAATCCTTGAGACATTATCGAAATTACTGAGCTGCGTGGTCAGGGATTTGCGGCTGTCAGTACTTGTTCTGCCTCTGATCTGGTGCTCTTCCTTAGGGCTTCTTATCTCACAACAGCAGCAAGAAAACGCCGCTTTGAATTCTTCTCTGAACTTCCCTAAAGTAAAAATCAAGAAACAATAAGTCTTAATGAGTGCATAAAGATCAACATCGAAAGGAGGGAAATTTCTTTCACAACCTCAAAAATATTAATTCGCTGCCAACACACTTTAGCTAAAAAAATGGACAGAATGTTACATTAAAGAAAATAAGTAATTAAAAATAAGACGGATTTTAAGTAAATGAGCAGTGTTAGTAGTCAGCAAAATTACATGGAAAAGGTCTGAAAGATCGATCCCATCAGTATCAGATTTTGAAAAAAAACTGCTCATCTGTTTAGCTGTAGTTTGACTGATTCTGGCAGATTTACAACTTGGATTGCAGCATAACTGGTAAAAGATGAAAGAATTTGGGAAATGACATTAAAAGGCATTTGGGTACTGAATTTGTAATGGGCATTTTTGAGTCCATCATGTTTAAGAAAATATGTTGTACTAAGCTATTCTGTTACTGCTTCATCTATGATAATTCCAATACAAGTACAGTATACAACAGGAATGCTATCCCCAAACAAATGGCCTTGTGAATAATTTTACCCCTGTGATGCTTTAGGCTCAGATCACTTCCACAGATACCATTTTTGCATTACATCTTCTTAGACTCTTAGGGTCTTGGTCATGGCAATAATCCCAGCAGACCTGCAAAGGTTGCTATCAGCTACAATCAGCAGTGAAACCACAGTATAACAGATATTAGACAGCTGAGAGGCAGTATAGAACTATGACCAGCAGATGGGGATATTGCTTCATAAATACATCCACCCATTTTCTAACAGCTTCATCCAAATCAGGGTCGCAGGGGAGCCAGAGCCTTTCCCTGAAAGCAGCGGGTCCAAGGCAGGATACACCCTGGACAGGATGCCAGTCCATCTCAGGACACACACAGACACACACCCTTCTGGGCTAATTTGGCCAACCAGTGTCCTGACCAAATTTCCCATTGGCCTTTGCCAATCATGGCCTCTTAATAATCTCCCCCTCTCTGAACTGGCTTCATCACTCTGCTCTCCTCCCCACTGAGAGCTGGTGTGTGGGGAGCGTTCTGGCGCACTATGGCTGCCGTCGCATCATCCAGGTGGGGCTGCACACTGGTAGTGGTGGTGGAGGGGATCCCCATTACCTGTAAAGCGGTTTGAGTGGAGTGTCCAGAAAAGCGCTATAGAGGTGTCAGCAATTATTATAATTTGTCCCAGAAGTAAACCTAAACTGTGGGAGGAAATTAGAGCATCCCATAGGAAACCCAGCAAACAGAAGGAGAACATACAGACTCCACACAGACAGCACGCCAGATCTGAACCCAGGTCTCTAGCACTACATGGCACCAATGATGACCACTGCACCACTGTGCCATCCTGATAAATATATTTCACAATGAATAACAGCACCCAATTCGAATTTCTGACTTAACCTGCCGTAAGATGAGGAAGTTAGGACCCTTAATGTAGAGGAGTTAAGGAGTTAACTAAGGATCCACAAAGATAACTGTAAGAAAGAAGAATTACTGTGGATTTTTATAGGTTTTTAGGTAAATGATGTCATGAAAGACTACTAGTTTGATAGCAGAGGTGAAAGAGAACTTTAACTCCCAAACCTCTTTTAAAAACTCCATGAATTTGTTCTTTTTTAACAACAATCCCACATTTTCCCACACACTTACCACTAAGAAAATTATAAATGATGGGATTTGCAGCACTATTCGCATATATTAACCAGTGTGAGAATGTAAACCAGGCGTAAACAGCCTCTCTGTCACTCGTGTTGTCAAAGGCTCCAAACACTCTAGATCAGAAAGAACAGAGAAAGAAACATTAATGGGAAACTCAGCTTAATAGGGAGAAAAAAACACTAGTCCATGGGTCCCTTTATAGTACTGACATTTCTCCAGATGAATAATACTGTTATTTCCAAAATACATTATTTAAGGAAAGCACATTTTCTTCAAGTTTGTTTTTAGAAGAATTGTTTAAGTATAGGATGCCGTGCACTAGAATTCAAAATTACTACCCGAGGTGAGCTTCACTAATTGATCAGAAATTGTCACAAAATCACTTTTTATCTGCCTCTTTAAGTGAAATGTTTTCATCTTGGTTGCAGTAAAACTCTTTTTTTTCTACATCCTCAAAGAAACTATTGATATTAACACTTCAAATGAAATGGGAAAGAAGCATTTGCTTGAGTCAGAACTATTTTTAAGGGAAAAATGGATTAACATTTAATTGAACAGTACAAACTTTAAAACTTTCATCATAATTCATGGCAAAAAGTGCTCTGCGCTCCATGCCCTGCCTCTCCACAGGTTTGAGTGAATGTTCTTTCAAAGCACCCTGTTCATAGCTCATTCATCAGAAACATTGCCGTTGTTGCCTGTGACAGGGAAAACCTACAAAACAAGCCTTTCAAGAAACAGGCTACAGAAAACAGACATCATGCAGCACAGATGTTTCTGGAACAAGGGCATACGAAAGTGGTTTGTGAAACCATTGCTCTTTGAGTATCACTTTTAACACACTCTCATTTTTACCTTTTCATAACGTTGAGCACGCTGATTGGCAGATAGCACAATGCGAAAACAAACAGGACCACCATTAACATGCGTGCAGTCTTTCGCCGAGCTCGGATCTGTTTGATTTCTGCTGCAGCTGCATTCGTTCGAATCCGGGCAGACTCCCCAGGAGTGGAGGACTGGGCTGAGCGCTGCAAAGACCTCCACTTCCTCTGAACTACGGAAGATGTCCCTGGAATCTGACAAGACCAGCAGCCGGGCGGTATTCACTTAGGCAGTGCAGAGACCAGCAGAGAAGTGTTTAATGTTCTCCTGGTTAAACATCACTTTTGTTTACTTAGGTGCTCTTGTTCCTTAAGATCTAACCAGGTGGTCCCTAACTCTGGCAGTCAGGATCGGAGTCTAGAATCCAGGAGACTTTCTATGACGTTAATTCACATGTTCTACACCTGGAAGAAGGATCATACTGTTTTAATTAAAAGTGTAACGAGTTCAGTTTATCCCTTCTCCACAGTTGTAAGCTGCTGAAGATTTAAAGACTTACAAACCCCAGTTGGAATCAATGTTTTTTACTCCCAACAAACCTTGAAAAGCATGCAATTCTAAATCAAGGTGAACTAATTACTGGAATAGGAAGTCCAACTACCTGCAGTCTTAGAGTTGCTAAATGACTAGTTCCTGCAAGAGACACAGGACTCTTGTCATTGGAGGATTGAAGGTGGCCATAACCCCTGCCTGCTCCTACTGTTGATTAGTTAATTCCATGATTATACTGTAAGTACAGTATAAAAAGTGCATTTCATCCATTTCTGCTGTTGACCCTTCTTCAGACCCACCTGGAAAAGAGCTGATAGCTAAACCATTTTATTTACTCACTTTCTTACATTTCAGTGTGACAATTTCTTAAATTAGCCAAAAGACTGATGTAACTCTACCTTTAACCACATCTTATTTCAGTAATAGATATCATCAGTCTAATCTGAACTATTAAGCATATTAGCAGTGTTTACCTGTTGGCACCACAGCTTGTGAAATATCTGAATGTAGGCCAGCACCATCAGACACAGTGGAGCCAGGTAGGTGACGATGAAAAAGCAAATGTGATAAACTTTGGGGTAGATTTCATCTGTAATTAGAAAATAAACAAAGGAATTCCTTTAAGCAATTTTTGCAAACTGTTAATGATATGTGAATCCTAAATTAAGCATGCTATAAATTTAAAATATTACTTTAAGGGGTGTATTCCAGTTTCTATATTTGACCTTAGATAAAGATAAAGTATATAGACCTTTGTATTACTGGTACAACTTGTTTCTAGAAACAACTAACTGTAAGCCAGATAAGCTGCCTAGACTAACAGTACACCTCTTTATAGCCACATAATTGCTGTTTATCCATTATTTCCAAACTGGAGCTGAGAGATCAATCTGGGATTGGAAGACAAATAATGAAAAGGTGCATAAATTCTACCCCACTAGACAATAATAGTGTGGAAACATTTTCAAAGAAATCATTTCAGTGCAATTATTTTGCCCAAACACCAGCAACCAGCACTCTCACTGTGATTGATGCCATTAAGCCAAGCAAAGCTGTTAAAACAAAAGACCAAAACAGGCCAAAACATAACTTGTATGCATCACACATGACGGTAAAAAAAAGTTCCTGAGATCTGTAGTACGAAAACTAGCTCAAGCACAATCTGATGGGTGTGGGTGTTACCTTGTCAAAACGTGTTGCACTATTCCTTGTTAGTGCACGCTTTTGTAAGGTAAAAAAGTTTATTTAAAGTACTAAGAACAAGTAAGTTGCTGATGGGTGCATTCTAGCTGTTCAAAGGATTCCAGTTTGAGTAATTTTCATTTATGGCATTTCTGTTGGCTGTTTAAGTGCAATAAAAAATAGAGGTGTTGTGTTAATATTATTGAATGTAAAACATTTTATTAATACGGTATGATAATTAAGACTCAGGGAATAATATTCCGTGCTCTACTCATGACACACTCACACCAGAGCTAATTTCCCCATAAGCCAATTAACCTACCAGTGGGAGGAAACCCACCCAACACGAGGAGAACAGACAGCACCCCAGGTCTGTAATTCAACCCAGGGCCCCAGAGCTGCCCTTGTTTCCTCTGTTGAAATTGTAAAATATCCCCTGTAACTGTAGTTTCGTGTGGCTTAAAATCAAGCATCAGTATTCCCAGAAGTCCAGCAAAATGAATGCTGTGATTGTGCCTGCTAATGGTTTATGGAAACTCTTTGTTTACTCCTTTATGGACTACCTGTATGGTCTCATGGTCCCTGTAGTAAATCCATATCTTTAACCCACGAATGAAAGTACATTCCTTCCACCTCTAGAGAACCTAGGATTCATGTCACACAGCTTGCAGAGACATTTGATATAAACAAATCCTCATTGCGAGTTATCTAAACCTCCATGGGAAATGCCAGTATCTGCATATGTTACTGCAATGATCAGTAACTACTGTCTCAGCCAGGTCAGTCTTGAGGAGATTGTGGACTTCAAATAAGGTTCAATGGTTTCCCCCTTGATCTCTGTGTCATTTTGTGAGTACACAAATGTTTGTGGTGTTGTGTGGGTATATGGTGGTATTTTGTTCTTGATTGATGTTCATGCAAACGCACAAATAGTGCAAGATGATGAAAGTATCCTGGACCAGTAGGGCTCTTCGTTTTTTAATGATGTCCTCTTTAAGTGTAAGCTACTGTAGCTCTACTGGTAGAATCACTACGAGTCGGCATACAGACTCAAAACAGACTTGCTTTCTTTTAATATGACAGCTGCTGAGTCTTGCCTCTGTCCCCCGAGCTGAATTTAGAGATAATGCTGATCACTAATATCCGAGTCCATTTAACTTGCATTTTAGTCCTGATATTTCCTAATTTACTAGGAAACTACAGTAGATCTTGTGTGGGTGCAGGTTTATTTTTGCCAGGAGTTAAATTACATGTACAATTTTTTTTCCCAATGTAACAGCACTGCATTGTTTAGTATCATTTTTGTTAATAATAATAGAAAGTTATTCTAATATCCGTTCATTCATATTAAACCTGAACCTCTTCAGTATATTGAAATCTAGCAAAGAATGACCTTAATTACCATTTAGAGGGAGGAGATCCCTATAGGAAATTAAACACAATGAAACAATCAAGAGTCTGATGCATTAGGCATAGAGTAGAAATGTTTAATTATATGCCACAATTCTAGAAAGTGTACACTTCATAAGGAAGTGATGAGGATTTTGAGTTTCTCTTTTATGTGATTGTGAACATTATATTCAGAAAGGAACTTACCTCCCCAGTGCTCGTCACAGACTGTGAATAGGCTGGTTCTGTTTGTTAGTTCTGGAACCATGCTACTGCACTCCATCACAATGGCTTGGGGAATCATTATTACACAGGAGACTATCCATATAATGACAATGCTCTTCCTGGCCCGTTTGGCTGTGCTTTTGAACATCAGAGGATGACAAATGGCATACCATCTGTCCAGGGCAATGCAGCTCAAAGTGAGCACAGATACGGAAACTGATGTTGTCTGCGGCATAAGAACAAAACACAGAAAACATCAGAAGCATTGGGCTGAAGGTACAACACAGGTACAATGCTTCTACCAAAATGGGTATTAGAAACATATAATCACTTCAAAAAAACAGTTTGTATTCTCATCAGTGACAAAGTGCTCAATTGAACACTCAGCTAAGTCTTAACCTTAAAGACCTCCAAATCATTTAAGTCTACAGACACTTCAAATTGCTGCATTTTAATACCATATCTTCACATCCCACAGCGCTAGATGAATAGTGAATTTCACGGCAGATCAGGTCTGTGGGGGATGGAATAGCAGCATATTCACAAAACAAACACCAATCCAAAGTCATTATTCCACTGACAACAAAATAACACCCAAGTTCTGAAATCACGTAAGACCTTTTTCACTTAACAGCAGCAAAGACCGTGTTTTCCATGAAGATGTAAGAAACCTCAATATCGCATCTCTTTCAGCACATCACTTTTTACATGGCGAATGATTAAGCATTCTGAGCCAGCTCGACAGATATCGACAGATCTCAAGGCTGTGTGTATCTACACCCATGACCAATATGTTTAGACCTGCATCTAAACCAACTTCTCTCAGATCCCTGCTGGAAGTTTCAAAGGCTAAAGTCATACTGTATAAGGCCAGAATATAAAACATATCAAAACAAACTTAAGGAACTGACGCATTTTGTCAAAAGTTTTTATTTTCACTCTAAGAATCACCCATCACAAAAATCCTTTATTTTTCCCCAAAGATATTCAGGTTTTATTGATGTGTTACCCACATGTTGAGATCCTGTCCGTATACATAGTACTTCCAGACACATATTGTACTGTATGAGCGGGCACGCACTATGTCACATGCTTTTCACTGCAAAATGACAATACACAAGAACACAGTTGTCACCATAGAACATTCTCAGAAGTTCAGATATGTCTACAGTAGGTTTTCATTTGATTAAGATCTGCGAGGAGGAAAGTGTGCACATGAAAGATCGAGATTCTTATAGTCTGTATCCTCACCTGTACGTAGGGCAGTACTTTGCACAGGGTTTGTCCAAAGAACCAGGTCTCTGTGATATCCACCACCAGGCTGGCAGGAAGACAGGTGATGGTCACCAGGACATCAGCAAAGGACAGGTTCACTATGAAATAGTTTGTCACTGTTCTCATGTGGTGGTTTTTCCACACAGCAATGCAGACTGTAAATCCAATAGAAACAGAAAACTACAACATGATGGCTGAATGGGAAAATAGTTGTTATGTTCATAACAACATTCAAATTATGAGCTTGGTTACAGTCTTGCCTGTTCTACATGCAAAGATACATTTTTTAAGTAAGAAATAAAAGCTGAGGGCACTCAATTACAAGAGAGGTGGGACCAATAAGGCTGAGCAGATGAAAAGTTTTATAAAAACCATTCTATGAATCAATGACCCTAGATTTTCAACCTCAGGTGTGTTTTAATCCACTTGAGCTGTGAACGTCTTCTCTCTGCTCTGGCAGCTGTCACACAGACAGTCACTGCAATCCAAAGGGCTACAGGTGGGGTTCTCATACAGTACAGTAACACCACTTAAATGGAAGATGGGAGAAACTGCCAGGAGAACAATGCGTTTTGTGTGGATGTTGTATAAATGTTGAACAGTCTTATGTACTTTATATTTCACTTTGATGATTTTGTTTGGCCAGGCAGTGCTGATTTTATTTCAGGTGAAACACACAACATGTATACAGTAGTGTAGTAGCCCACATGTCCAGTCTGAAAATGGGCATGCCTACCGTTCACTAGTGACAAGGAGCTGATAGTCTCGGAACCAAATGAAATACAAATGATCACATTATTATTCGGAATCCTCTGGTTTGAGATTGCTGAGCCTGTTCTTCTTTTCTGCGCTTTAGAAATATGATGTTCTCAACTAGGATTGGTCACTCTGTGACAGGGCTCCCATAGGGATAATCCACAGCAGCAGCAGAAAGAGCTGCAATAGGGAATTTATCACCCGCATTTGAGCTTCCTGATTAAAAATATGCTGCTCAGTGAAAAACTATCATGCTGGGCAAATACCGATCACAACTGACAACCTCTGCACCTACAGACTAAATGTCGCTTTGATTGCAACCCGTATATTGTAAAAGTTCCTGCCTACTAGAGGACACTGAGGTAAAAGTCTAAATTCAGCTCTCGACAAATTTAAATTTCAGTATTGTACCAAATGGGAAGTGTGAATCACAAGAGCAAATTCCATAATACAGCACTTATAATCTGGGAAGTGTGAATCACAAGAGCAAATTCCATAATACAGCACTTATAATCTTATTACTGAAAATAATATTGTCAACAAGTAATCATTTTAAGTATCCTGTTCCAGGACATGTACCGCTATATTCAACTAAAATGACATTAGTGTACAATACCTGCACATGCCATAGTGATTCTGCAGCCTTTTGCTGGAATAGTACTGAGGCAGACAAGCAGGAAAATTAAAACAATTAAAAATAGCGATGGCTCTTTCGATGTGGGTTACACAGCTTTGTCAAAATTTGATTTCATATATCTGTCATTCAAAACAGAATGTGTACTCCCTACCACTTACTATCTTGCTGCTAAGTTGTGTAATCGGAAATTGTGGTTGCACACAACTTGATAACAGAATTATTTTTCATATCTTTATAATTTAATAGTACATATGCAGTATCAGTAATTGTTAATTCTGTATTTATGTATAGTAAATTTATTAACTTACATGAACTAGCACAGTTTAATTTGTTAGTGTCATAAAGTGATCAAATAATAAATTCTAAGAACAAATGATTCAACATCTAAGATGATTTATAAAGGTAACATTGTGACAGAAACTACTATTTAATCAGTAAAAATAACACCAGTACTTCAAATTGAACATGTGTCTTAAATAGAAATGATTTTATTATAAGATGAAAGCCATGCATCAAAGATAAGATAGAAGATGGAGTCATGTATCCTGAATTATGTTCACTCGATACATTATAAATAAAGGGCAACCTGTCAGGGGGTCTGTGCCAAACAGAGTGACAAACAGAGATGACATCTTACTATAAATATCTCTCATTAAATGATTAATCAAAATTTTTATGAGAGGTTTGTTCTTTATTTAAGGACAAGCAATTGTACTGAAGTCATTTCAGGAGTGGAATGATAGATTGAAGAATTTACAATCAGATCCTTAGACTCCGGCAAACATTAGGATAAATACATGACAATGAGTGAAAGATTCGATTTAGCTAAAGGCTATAAATGTGTAAGTGTGAATCAAAATTAATCACAGAAAAACCTATTACAGCAGTGTTTGTGTGATATAGATAGCCAGCTATATTAACACAGGAGAAAAAAAACACCGCAGTTAGTCCAAAATCAGGTCGGATTTATAAACTATGATTAGTGTACTGTATGTACAGTAAGCCAAAACCTGGACCTTGATAGTTCAGACTGGTTAGCATACTGTGTATAAAAATACTTAGACACACATATCTTAGCTAAAAATGTGGTGTGTGTACTGTAGGGTTTTGTCTTCCTGTGTTTATATATTTTTCCAAGAATTATTATTTGTACATGATAATTTAGTAATAGCATTATTTTAAAGTACTGGAACATTGGTCTGTCATGGTAATGAAATATTACCTTGTAATATATAAGTAACTTGTGATGTAATGTATAATATAAGTAACTTATGCAAATACAAAATCATTAGTGATTGATGTTGTAACTTTTTGAAAGCCACTTGATATTTCACTGGGTAAGTCCTACAGGCAAATGGAGAAAAGAGTCAGGACCCACCTTATCTGGACCTCAAGGTGGTACCAAAGGAGGGGATACCTCAGGCTTTTCTGGACGCTGATTCAAGCTCATAGAAAGCAGAAAAGCATGTCTATTGTGGGTATAGTGCAAAAGGTTTTTGTGATCTCTTAGCAGAACATGTCTGGAGGAGGTCAAGGCTAGGCTTCCAGAGCAGTAAGAAATTAAAAGCTAAAGGAACCTATTAGCTTGGATGTTTATTTTATGCGTGGTTTCTACAGTTAATGTCAATTTGTTCTCCACTTTCAAAACAAAGGTTTTTATCTACTCCAAGTGTTTCTTTGTCTCTTCTATCAGTATCTCATTCCAATCCTGAAAACACACACCTAACATTTTAAAATCGAGTTCAAACACTTAAGCAGAGTTGCAAAGTTGTCCATTCAAAGTGTAATCTGAGCCCTACAGGCCAGAGGTCACTATGTGCAGACTAGGATTCCATTAGCAGTGGTGCACAACTGGCCAGCTGTTGGTGAAGCTGGAACTGGTCTTTGTTTTCTGTGCAAGAAGATTGACTGTGACTTGTCAGATTGCTATTAGTTTTCAGGGGGAAGAGTGAGAGCAACACGACTCTTCCAATGAATTCTCTCTCTTCCCAATTTTTTTAACCTGTGGTGACATAGGAATGAACCAGCTAGATTCACAACTGGAAAATGCTCATTAGTAAGATAATCAAAGAATTCTGAATTTTGAACATAATATGTATATTTCTGATTCGTCTCAATTTGTGGTTTATGGCTTAAATTGTAAAATAGATTGAAATGATATACAACAGGAGTCTTTCTCCTCCCTAGGTCTTGACCTAACTACTGTAACTTGAAAACTCCCCAAGTTACAAAACTTCTTACTGTATTTTTGGTCACTCTTAACTCAAACTATACTGGATTTCTTAACTGTCTTGAAGAGTGTCTGGAAAAAAAAATAACATGTAATTAAACGTGGTTTAATAGCAGTATCCCATATGACATCTGAGTAAAGATAAAATATTTAAAAAACCCTAAGGGACCGACCCCCATCAAGCAGGATTAAAAAAACAAAACAAAACCTGACTTGCCAGTTTCTCTTAAAAAGCAATGAAGTCGGTGGCATTTGAAGGTCAGTGAAGCCATACCATGAAACTATGATTTAATAGAAACAGCCCTGAGGTCAGTCATACTGCTGTGGTTTATGAGTTTAGAAATGCAACCTGGCAGAGCTTATGCAGCTGACATGCTAACAACATCCACAGATCTGAAAGAGTGGACAATAATAAAGAAGGTTATATGCACTGTCACTATCAGCTTCTTGAATAGGATTACTTCCACATCATTTGAACTTTCCAAATTAACCTTCGCTGGATTTTATATTGTCTATCAATTGAGAAAAGCAGAGTGGGTACTTACAGCAAATGTGAGAGTGTTTCTTATCTTTAGAAAACACTGACCCTCACTGAAGATAAAGGTGCTCCCTTATATACTATTCTGACATGCTTCTCAATGACTGTGTGTTCTGCTCTCCCCAAAAATCACACTCTTCAAGGTTCATTCTCACCTTCAGGTTCTTTTGGTTTTTGTTATTGCAAGTACACAGACTTCATGGGGGGATGGCTGTAAAGGTAACAGAAAGGAAGCTGGCTTTTAGAGGCTCTGGAGGTGCTAGCCCAGAGCACAGACTGAGCCCCAGGGCCTTGGCATGCTGGCTCAAGCCTGGGTCATGTCACCCGCCGTCTGCCCCTGGATACCTTAAGCGGCGGCACACAGCTGCTGGACAGGATGCAGTAGGCATCAGTTAGCCGGGGTCTTCTCAACTTTCAGCAAAACAGTGACTCCTGTGACCGGCGAGTTGCCTACAGACCTGCAGTGATGCATTGAGAGATATGGTGCTACTGCAACTGGCACTAACCCCCTTCCAAGACACTGTGCAGGCTGAAGCATGTCCAAGGAGAAATGGCTCGGGCAGGTGGAAATCTTTTCAGGTCCTTATACTCTCTGCGTTGTACCTGGCCTGCAGCCAGAAGCGGAGAGGTAATTGAATGGGTACATCAAAACAAATAACTAGCAATTAACTTTTTAGTTCTACAGAATGTAAGTCTTCCCTTTAGAACCTGTCAGCGGGGTCCATGAATTAACATGACAATTATCCTGAAAGAGTCTGGCTTTGAAAGTGTGGATCATAAGTACCTTTTATTAAAAAATACCAGTGTGAGAAATCCTCCTTTTCAAACAGCCATGAATCTAGGCTGATATGCAAATACTGCTTGCAGATTTTTTGAAATCCCAATTTTTATTTAGCCGGATTATCCTTCAGAATACAGTAACACCCCCAGGTTTCCAGTACAATAAGCAGGTGAGAATTCAAATGGCAGTTTCTGCATAACTTGAAATCATTGCTGCGTGATTGTCCCCATCTTGTACTATAAAATAGATTTTTCTTCCCTTTAACATTGACCACCTCTTCTCTGAAACAGGATCTGTCTATTTTCCAGACATTCTCCTTATCTGAACTCTACGCTGCTCATTTTTGAAGGATAATGTTACAAGTTCCAAGGTTTGGGCAAAATAAAAATGCCAGATACACTGATACACTGACTCCATTTTTCATCCTTTCTGTTCAGCTATGATGCTGATTGTGAGTTATAAATTGAAATGCACTGTTGCCTGATGACTGCTTGGGTTTGTGTTGGCCAGAATTTCTTTCTGTAATGAAGCTCCTGAAAGTTATCTCAATGGAGCACGAGATGCCTACAGGTTGAAAGTGCTTTCACTGAAAACCAGATTCATCCCCCAGTCAGTGCCATCTCTATTATGGGGACTCATGTTGTGAAGAAAGTAGCAGATTTTCCAAGTTTTGAGTCTCAACCCTTCTAATGCTGCTAAGAAAGTCAGAGTAGTAGAACAAGATGAAAAATAACCGATGTTACCAAACTGGGGAGTGAGGATATAAAAACATCATGAAGTTCCAATTTTTTAAGAAAGGCATTTGAAAATGAGTGTCAAATATGTTTATGAATTAATAATTATGTTTTATGGTACATTATATTATTAAATACAAATAACAACATCAGAAAATGCTCCTTCAAAAGTGTTAAAAAGTTATTCCTGGAGGTTCAGGTTGATGTCTTTTACATATCACTTGTAAACGTTCTACGAACAATGTATAAAGTGACCGATCAATTAAAACATTTAATAAATAAAACCTACAAGCATAATAGGCCTTAGGGGCTAGACATTAGGCAGCGCTATGCTTCCTTGACCAAGAACCTCCTCCTGTGTGATTACGCACTGTGTGTGTCCGCCACTGATGATGACCACACACCCCACTAAAGAGACACATGCAGACTGCTGTGGTATCTGTGTCCATTCTGTCCAATAAAGATATCCTGGAGTCCCTGGAGAAACTGCCACGAACTGAGTGTCCTCTACAGCATGTCACAGAGCAGGGTTTTTTTTGTGTGCAATTTTTAATTGTCAATTATTGTTCATTATACACTCATCTAGTTTTGAAATTTCCAATTATGTTTTATGCAGCTCAGCTCATCGTGACCACCCACACACAGCACCGGAAGAATAGACAGGATCCTCCAACCCTCCAGGCAAGCTTGTTTTGCTACAATGCCACAATGTGCAGGAGGTTCTGAAGGCCAGCTGAGAGTCTGAAAGTTACAGGGGCTCCAGTTTTCACTGGTCACAGAGAGAATCCTGGTTAGTTCATTCCAGCCCCATCCTCAGTGCACTGAGCCACTTGCACACCCATGCTTCTGGAATCCTGGTCACAGGGGCATGGCTCACTCCTGATTCCTGGATCATAAGTAACAGCTTGTAAGATTATCAGTTCACGCAGATTAAATACATCTAATAAACAACAGCTTCAAATGACCGAAGAAACTCTGTAGAAACTCTTTGTTTTGCTAAACCCACTTCTAATGGCATGCTTTTCATGTAACTTTCCAAAAGCTTTCCCCATGCTCTGCTCCTTGACCCAATAGAATCCATCAATTAAAGGAACATCCATCCATTTTCTAATTTCCTTATCCAATACAGGGTTGCAGGGTAGCTGGAGCCTATCACAGCAAACACTAGGTGCCAGGCAGGGTATACTCGGACAGGAGGCCAGTCCACTGCAATGCACACACAGACACAAATATGGACACATTCGCTCCAGTGCCATTTAACCTCCCAGCATGCCTTTGGACTGTGGGAGGAAACTGGAGGAAACCCACGTGAATCTGTGGAGAACATACAAACTCCACACAGATATAACCCCAGGAATTGAACCAAGTCCCCAGTGCTTCTAAGCCACAATGCTAACCACTGCACCACCATGACACCCACTTAAAAGAACATGTAACATTTAACCTAACACCACACAAACTGTGCTCGGCTATTGAGCAGTTTTAATGAAGGTATAGATCTCACATGTCTGTCTATCTTCTCAGCTGCTGTTTGGTAAACTAAGAAGTGATTGTTCAATGTCAAATTAAAACCAATACCAGGCTGCCTGCACAAATATGAAGGCGCTGGTCAGAAAGATATAGAGGTACTTCCCTCCGCAGATGTGCTCTGTAACATGACACAGAAACACTGTTAATCCCTGTGTTGTCTCCAGACCCTGGGACATAACAGAATTAATTCGATATCCGATTGACAATGGAGACTATCTGTGTCTCCATTGGACAGCTCTCAGCTCTCAGCTCTCAGAAAGCTGGCTCTCAGAAATCTTCCCTCACTCTGTCAATCACAATCGTACGGAGGCAGACAGCTCTTTGATGTTGTCATTTGACACTATTGGGCGTTACAGATCTGTTGATAGACGGGAAGAAACACTTTGGTGCATATTCACTAACATATTCACTAAAGATACCCCACTTTCAAACATTCAAATATCTCTGCATTATGTAACCAACATGTTATGGGTCATTATACTTCATTGCAAGAACATTTTCAATCACACACACTCCTATGTCTAAGATTTTGTAGGTAAACCAAACTGTTTGTAACATTTAACATGCAGTATCTTTACTCCCCCACATGCTGCACAGCGTTTAACACAATATATGCAGTGAAGGATGTACAAAGATTAACAGAGTTTAACCGAGATTACCACAGACAGGAAGTCAACAGAACCACCAAAGGTTTTTAATTAAGCCTCAAATGTTGATCCTCATATATGACAGCAACAATATCCAGAGAGCTGCACAATGTCAAAAGACAGAAAAATAAAAACCAAACAACCAATAACACTATCACGTGTTTTTTTACAATATCACGATTTAAATATATATTTAAACAAGTCAGTAATAACCAAACCAAATGAATCACCTTAAATTACTAGCAGTCATGTGCAAAAACCTATTTCATTTATGTAAAATAAATGAACGACATTTTATTTTACAGAATAACCGACGAATCCTGATAATAACTACATTACTAGGACAGATCTCTAATTGTAGATGCACTTATAGTTTATTACAAATTAATTACTCGAATATTCTACCTAAATAATCATGCATTACATATGTATGCATTCAATCCCTGTTCAAATTCATCTGGTATCTCGTTTCACCAAACACAAACTGCTGCTGTTGCAGCGTTTGCAAGCGGCATTCGAAATAATGCTTATTCACTAAACAAAACTTTACTGCGAAGGCTGCTTTGATTTCTCTTAACTTCATACTGGAAAAACTGTCAGCTTCCATCGAGTCATAAAAACAGAGACAAGATGTATCAATTCGACAAACTGAATCAGAGTTAAACTCTAATGAACTCTACTGAACTATCTTGGTAGAACATGAATGAGTGCTCGAAGAGTTAGGTACAATACAAATATTTTCTCTAAAGTATAAATACAAGTATTTTCACTTACTGTAAAGTTAAAACCTCTCTAGTCAAGCTTAAACAATTCTAACTAACGAAAGTTGCGGGACTTAGGGTAGCTGTTAAACAATGTGTAACACGAAACAAATCCAAGTCTTAACTGGGTAACTGAATTTATATAGCACGTTTTAATAAAACATAACCGAAGATTATTGTGTTGCGGACATTTCAATACATTTTCAGATCTCTAGGAATCTAAGTGCTTATTTTTATCATAATGTGTGAGTAGAATTAACTTACCGAGAGTGTTTCCGATTAGAGAAATAAAGAACACGATAATGTAGCCCGCAATCAGAACCCACTCGTACTGTTTAGGATGCAGATATTCCCTCCAGATGTACCTCAGCAGTTCATCATCTCCGTCAACTGATGGATCGTGGGTCGACTCGACACTGCTGTTAAACTCGTGAAGGAGAGGTGAACAGTCTTCACACACCGAATTTGCGGTGACCCCAGACATCCCTCAAGGTGTTGAATGCGTCCGATACACCTTAGGTGTCCCGAAGTCAGCACCTGTGCTGTTAATGTTGCTGCTGTTGCACAGTGCGCCAAGCCGCCAGAATGCTAAAAAAATGCTAGCAAGGAGCATTCGAACATTATATACATGTGACGTACTCTTGGGGGATAACTACACGGAGCCAATCTGGACCAAGACTTGGAAAATCCGTCGAACAGAGAAAAAAACAAAACAAAATAAAACCACCTCCTTTTTGTTTCTGTTTAAGAGCCAACATCTCCAAACAGCTTTTGCACCTTTGCAGGTTAATAAATGCAAACTGTTAAAGCATAAATTAGCACTTATCTGTTTAACCAAGAACCGTATTTGACTAATCACTATAACGACTTTTTATACAAGGCAACAAAGACACATAAAAACCTAAAAACTACTGTAGTTTTTTACTACTACATGTAGTATACTGTAATTTATCAATAAATGTGATCACTGCAGTACTATGGAATAATTAAAGTAACAAAGAAAAATGGGCTTTGATATATATTGTATTATTGTTTGACAATCTTTGTTATTAGTCTTTTTCTTATTGACATTGTTGTAGGCATTGGCTACAAAATGACATTCAATTACCGATTTCTTAGTATGTTGTGTTATTAACATAAGTCTTTGGCAAATGAAAGAGATGAGGTTTGAATGATGGCAGACAAATATGCTTTTGCTACATTAATTAATGATTGAACAACAAATGATTGTGTTCAACTCCGAATTATTCCCTATGTCTGGTAAAAAAGGATGCACTGTAACCTCGTAGTATATTATAACTCAATTGGAAGTTTAAATAAACTCTTCATCTCGAACTACAATATACAAACTGACAAAACTACACAATATCAGTCTCTTGTGCTATGACATTAAAATAACTGATAAACTGACATGGCATTCTTGTGTCTGCCTCTCCATACACACTTCCAAGCTGCTGAGGATGTTGCACCCTGCATATGGATTTTGTGGACATTTGGCCAGACACTGAGGTAGCCACTCATATCTTTCTCTGAAGAAGTGAGATTTGTCTTTGTCCTATCTGTATTTTTCCATTTTGAAGCTCAAGGGTGAAAAACCTTCTACCCCTTCGTCCTATCACTGCTAGTATCTCCACCATGTGACTGAGACAGCTGTATTTATGCTCCGCCCTGGGCAGAGACCACTCAGTCATCGCTCTTTGACATTGAAGACTGCTGGTCCCTGGCACAGTCCAGGACTTCTCCACCCAACAGTCCAGGAGTCTGTCTCAGTGCGCTACCAGACACTTCACGAGGAATAACAGTACCCCAGAACTACGTCATGGAAAAATGTTCATGAAGTGTTTTACCAAGAGTAAATGTGGCTTAACCCACTTGGCTGAGGGCCAGTCTGCTGACTATAGGATGAGGACATATAACCTCTCTGTAGAGTAAGGAATAAATCAAGTGATGAAGCTGAAAAGGTGGAGGTGGGGTGGCGTAGGGAGGCAAAAAAGGAATGAGAAATAGAAAATGAGCTTCTTATTGTTAATCTTCATGCCCTCTCCAGGGCAGGGTCATGAGCAAGCCGAAACCTATCCCAGCAAGCAACAGGAGCGAGGCAGGAAACACCCCTGATGGGACGCCAGTCCATCACAGGGCAGAAACACAGATACAGACACACACTCACCTCAGAGCCAGTTTTCCCACAAGCCAATTAACCTACCAGCATGTTTCTGGACTGGGAGGGGAAACTGGAGCACCCAGAGGAAACCCACGCGAACATGGGGAGAACCTACACACAGCATGCAGACAGCAACCCAGGGCCCCAGAGCTGTGAAGCAGCAATACTTACAGTATTTGTTGTTTTTTTTTTAATTGAGGAAATGACATCACTAATGATTAAGATTCAGGACAGCTGAGTCCAATTGAATTTGGATACTTTTAACCCTCACAAGCTTTTGTTGTAAGCTCCATTGCTTCAGAAAAAACAGGTAAACATTCTCATATTTAGTAAAACCGAGGGCATCTAAGACAGATGGGATAGTAGTCTGTACTGTAGCTACTGTAAGTGAAAACCTTCCATGTGAAGTACCCAAGTAGAGATGAGAAAGCGTGCCCTGCTATGAACAGGACTGAGACAGTACTGCGCAGATACAGTAGTTCCTCTTGTGGGGTCTTGGAGACACTTGGCCTGTGGTCTCTCCTCTTACAGCCTTTGCCACCTGCAAGAAAGCACAAATGATTTTAGTAAAGAAAGAACAACTGGTTTCTGAAACCCGTGTTCTTGTTCAACCAGTAGTTTGAGATCAAGCCCATTTAAGTGCAGTGGGATATGGCCAGCAGGAGGGAGAAAGTAAGGAACGTTACATATTCTCCAATCTTGATTAATACTACAGGGTCCAAAAATATTCACCACTCTGGTCCACAGCTGTGGGCAGTATGTGTGGTTGCAATCCATACCATTGTATTTTAAGCTTTCAGGGGCATAAGCTGACAGACATAGTAAAAGACAGATTTAACTTCTGGGCCTGACAGACATGCTAGCGATCATTTAGGGATGCCATTAGGTAATGTGATGTACTGTATGAACACAGCAAGCAGCATCTTCATTAAATACTGTTGCTCACCTTTCTGTAGATAGTAGTGCTGAGGGTTTGTTTTATGTTGGGCATCTTTCTGCTATTCCTTCAAAAACACCACGCTTACAGACAAAGGAGGTCTTTGAAAATATTCATTTAGCAGAACTCAGAGTCTGTAATTGTAACGGAAGCCGGTCCAGGCCCCCGTGAAGCGTAGTTCAGGAGTCTGTGCAGATGGTATAATCCGGAAGTAAGTGGAGAAGGACAACAAGGAAGAGATGTAGAGGATCAGGAGGGGTTGACAGGAAGGGGGGAATGATGGCGGTGATCCTGTGGTCGGGGGGTGTGGCGAAGGCAAACTGATCCACACAGTCCAAGGGGGAAAGAGTACATACTGTATATGCAACCTTTTCTTAGTGTAGTGCCACTGTTTTTTACTTGAGCTCTAAGAACACAGTCGAACCCTTGAATGCTGCATTTTCAGCAACGTGTACACTGTATCATCTTGTTTCATCCCACACCTCCTTGAGGTCCATGTTACAGGAGTCACTGCAGAAACCGAGGTGATTAAAACCTTATGTTTTTCCTCCATGAGACCACAGAAGCACCAGGGTTATTGCAGCACTGCAAATCATAACGTCCAATTTAGTACAGACAGGAATGAAATTAGCAGCCCTCTTACATTTAATATATTCAGACTCTAAAACTGCCAAGTACCAGAAAAAAAACAGCCTGATAAATATGTTAGGAATTAAGTATTGTCACATTCTGTGACAGTGAAGGTTACAGGCAAAGTATTTATACTGTTGACCTGTGTTGTTAATTGTAAGAATTATCAGGAAACATGTCAAATATTTCAGGGTGAGAAGGGGAAAGTTAATTGATTTCAAACTTATTTCTGCAAATGCTCTTAGAATTGTAGACACACGTTGCTTTCACCCTTTTCATTGCCATATTTTCATTCATTATGCTATTCCACCATGCAGAACAGGAGATAAAATAATTAATTGTGTTTATATTTATATAATTTCTTTGACAGAGGGCATCAAAAGGCCTTCAGAACAATTTGTTCATTAATCATTTACTTACATCGTTGCCAGGAACACCAACTGAGGCAAACACCAGGTGTAGACACAATATATGTATAATATGTACAGTATGTACGAATATGAATATGTATCTGATGCATTTGTGGGCAAATCCCATAGATGTAATTAAACATTTGATATGGTACTAGCAAGGCTATGTGAGTTAAGTAAAAATGATCAAATGCATTTTTTCATCCGCCAATTTTCTAATTGCTTTATTCAATTCAGGGTCACGGGGGTTCCTAGCTCGGCAAGTAATGGGTGCCTACAAGGTGGGGCACACTCTGGACGGGGCTCCAGTGTATCACAGGACATACACAGACACACTCACACCAGTTTTCTCAGCAGCCAATTAACCTACCAGCAGTCTTTGGACTGTGAGAGGAGACCGGAGAACCCAGTATCCCACGTGAACACGGGGAGAACATACAAACTCCACACAGACAGCACACAGCACTCCAATAAGGAATGGTAATGCAGTATGTATAGTAATAGTAAGTATTAAAGCAGTCAGTGAGCATTAATAAAATAAGCATTAATGTAGAAATACATACAGAGAAATGTACAATTTACCACTATTATTTACAGATATTTGCAAGATGACTTCCTGCCTTCTGCAGAACCAGGAAACAGAACTCAAACCTAAGACTGAGGTACAGATATTGATTAGGAAAAAGGGAACTTGCTAGAAAAGATTATATCCAGGGCTAAATGACTTCTGTGACGGCACAGCAGGCTCAGACAAGACAGACCCCCTGCCTGGACCACATTCCCCAGAAGGCTGTAAGGATGGAATTGCTGCCTTCGATCACCAGACCAGTGAAGAGTCCAGAAAGACATTTCAGTTTGAGAAACTTTAATGTTGTTTTTGTAGCCAGTAAGCAGCTTAGCTATGAGTAGCTCAGGTGGGTAGCTGCGTCAGCATGTGTAGGCTGCAAAGGAACAAGTAATAGGTTTATTCCATCATCATACATGTGTGCCACTTACTGTATTTGTTCATGGGTCCCTGTTGTGCTCAATGTGTGTTGTGTTATGTCCTTTACCTGCCTGCTATCTGGGACAATAAGAGTCAGAAGGTGAGGTATTTTGAAAGAAGTTGCTCAGGAGCTCAAGGAGAAGCTTAGGTTTTTGTTTTGTTGTGCTTTGATTTTTCCTCTGTACTCTAACTAAAAGCCACTATTTTATATCTTTCTGCTGCAATTGTTTTCCTGGGCCTGCCTACTTCAAGGATCCCATTACAAGACTGCAACGCCCAGGTCAGACTCCTTAAAACTGATGCTAAATAAACTGGAACTTTTCCCTATTCCACATAGTACATCACTAAACAAGATTCCTTTATCGTGGTGGAGACCACAACAATTAGAAATAAATAATCCACAGTAATTAGACAATAGCCCCTTGCCCAGGTCCTTCTTAATTCATTTT